TCCTCTCCAAAAGTGGTCTGAATCCCCACTAAAACCGAGGACACCCCCATATTACTAAACAGGGGTTGAATCTGGGGTCAACATTGAGCACACATTGTGTTCTTGGTTGTCTTCCGGAGCGTTCATTCTCCGGTTCGTGAGGCTCACATAGTTGCGTACATCGAGAAGGCATCTTCTAACAATATGGGAGCCACCAAGACAAGTGGTTTCCCTTTGGCTTCTGTTTAAAACCACGCCAAAAAGAGATTGCGGGGTGATGACAACAGTTGAGTCGCCTTGAGATGTTGCGCGGCTTCTCTTGAAATCTTGGCTTGCCTTGCCATCAACACACTCATCACACATCCCTCCCTCGCACCAAAAAAAACATCGCATGTGGCTGGCAAGCACGAACTCAGTCTTAAGAATTCTGAATATCCTAAAGTGATGATTCAATGATGTCAACTTTTGCAGTATGTAAGTCCCAACAATGGCTGGATGATGTCTATCTAAGTATACAGTATTTAGCCCCCAACGACGGCCGGATGACGTATCCTTTTACAGTATGTAACCACCAACAATGGCTGGATGACGTCCATGCTTACAGTATTTAAACCCCAGCAATGGCTGGATGATATCCAAGCCTTCTTACTCATCCTTCCCTTCAACCCCATTGAATTTCACGAGGTTGAAGCGAGAGCTCGGAGGCAGGCTGGGTTTGTCTCCAAATGGGGGCACCCCGAAAATGTGATCCGGTTTCACGTGCGTTTCCCTTCACAACAACCTCAAGGGGCCCACAAGGGGGCCACAGCTAGTTGAATTTGGGGCAGTCCTTCCTCCCCTGTCGCGTTCCAACAGTTTGTGAATGGCCTCAAGTTTTGGTAGTTTCCGAAAGATCTTGGGGGCGATCGGAGAGCCCAAGCACCAGGCAAATAACGGCAGCTGACAACACGTTCTGAGCTGCAAACAAAAGGGGGGTAGCGAGCCTCACACAACGGAACCGCTCCATTTGCTCCAAGCTTCGCACACCAAAGGTCACCCTCACCTCATCATCCGGCAGAGCCCCTGGGGAGTGGTCGGAGCCCCAAATCCGCACCTCGATCGGCCGACCGGATTCAGGGGTTCAAAAATTGAACTGCTGCTGTCTCGTGTTCGGTTTCCCTTTAAGTGACGTACCCGCAAACAAGGATACCATTTAAGCAACCCAGCCAGAAGCCTGCTAAAGAGGGGAGCCTGAAGTTTGATCCTAAGCTTTGCCCACCTATCATGGGTTTGCCTCAAAATGAAAAGGCCCGCGTACATGTTAGTTTCCTCTGAGGAACTGGCTCAATCCTTCAGTGTTTGTGGGTGTTGGCCACTTTCCCGCAAGCCTTTGTTGATTGAACGGCTCGATCCTTGGGCTGCATGGGCCTCTTGTATCCGCGACCGAGGGGCGGTCATGACGTAGAGCGCGGGGTTCCGTGGCGACCAAAGCTTCGCGCCTGCGGCCGGGGTCCTTATCTTGGCCCTTGACTGAACTGGCACACAAGGTAGAGCCTGTCTACCGAATCCTTAGAGAACTGATAGCTCCTTCTCCCCCTCTGAGAAGGCAAATGTGACAGCATGTGCAAAGAGCCGACTTGACCTGGCAACTGGCCAAGAAACAGATTGAACATGAACCCCTGCCCGGGCTGAACACGTAGAACCGCTTGCACTGAGCACTGAAGTGGTGATTGAAACGTCTGCACATGCAACAATAGTTCAAGTATTGAATAACTGAGGAAAGGACCTACATCATGGGTAAATTCGTCTCCCCCTAGTGAGCTGGCACAAAATTGGCAGAAATATGATGCAGAAATAAATCAGCCAACTAAAAGTTAAGCATGCTAGCTCCACAGGTATGCCCCAATTGCTCCTATGAACATGCTCCAATGCCTGGTAGCATCGCATGCACTGAAGTTGGCCAATGAGGACCTTGCAGAGGGTTCCTTGCATGTCCTCAAACATCGAAACTACATCTTACAGGGTTGTGGAAAATTACACTTTACGTGACAATCTGATACCAAACTTGGACTCTCTTTCTTAAGGCTAGCTTCCAAAGAAAACTCACTTTCGAACGGCCTCATACTTGATGTCTAAAGCATCCAACATTCGGGACAAAGGAACCCTGCAAATGAGCTTGGTTGATGTTAGGAGACATCTACGGAGCCTGCCTCCGCAACGCCGTGTGTTGCCTCTTTTCTGGTCTCACCCCTCGGCCATGGGCGATTTTGTTGGTTCAGCCATCTTTCAGGCCCCCAGGTGCTCAAATGTTCCTCTCACGAATGGGAGGCAGCCGAGGCAGCCGAGGCATCCGAGGCCAGCTGATCCAAGCAGACCAGAGGCCCGATGTCTGAAGACCTCTTTCAGGGCCCCTTAAATTGGGCCTTCGATGGCCAGCGCGCCTGGCAGCGGCATGTGGGGCAACGCTAGGTCCAAGGAGGCGCCGGCGGCCAGCGAGGTGTCGAAGTCCTGGGGGGTGGCTCCAGGCTGAGGCTCGGAGGTTTGGGGTGGGGGGGGGGAGGGGGCGGGGGGTTCTTTGGGGGCTGGTGTTTTGGTGGCTCGGACTTTTTGGGGCTGGATTTGTTGGGGCTGTTTTTGTTTCTCCTCTTTCTTTCTTTTTCTTTTTTGGGAGGGGGGTACCAAACAAACAAGCAGCGTACTTAGTGCCCGCTAGTATGACACATGCCCAAATCACAAAAAAACAGTGGAGCCACCTATGCTCAACTGGCCAATGATTTCGGGGCCCCGATTCCCCCCCCCCCCGACCAGCCTGAAACAAAATCAAGCCACGTCATCGAGGAAACTTGTGCTTTCTATGCGCTTCATGCTTTTTGCGTTCAGGGTTGTTTGAACCAAAGATGCGCTGCACATAATTCACCCAAATGAGCAAGTTGTCATACATACTGACTCAGAGGAGCATTCTTGCAGCCAAATGGAGGGATGGTGCCTGTTACCAAGCTGAGGTGGAGGGTTGCTCCCCGGAAACCCAGCGGCGCAACGCGTGCAGGGCAGGGGATCTAATCCAGGAACGATTCTCCTGGTTGCCTTCCCCGTACCAAACTTGGTTGCTGTTGACCCGCTGCAAAAAGTCTAACTTTTTGGGGGTTAAGTGGAAAACCCCTTTATTTTCCAAAAAGTTAGAGTCTAAAGATCCGTTGCCCAATAGCAGTCAAGCAAAGGGGCCACCCATCTTTGAATTCGGAAGTGCTTGAACCGCCGCCTATTGCTTTCCACTGGTGCCCTGGCGGCTTCAACATGTTTTTTGTCCCTGTTCCCTACTGTGGGTGGACAAAATCCTGCACTACTTTGAAACTATGGGAAACCATTGTTTGCTGGTATTTACAGGGGAAACATCATTCCAGGGTGTCTTAAAGTCTTAGGTGGTGCAGGATTTCGTCCACCTACAGTATCTCGTCCACCCCAAGATGATTTGTCGAGGAGATGATCGGTGTCCACCAGGCCTTTGACGTCACGAATTTGCCGCCGTCAGAGATGGAGCACTCTACATGGACGTTCCGCGACGTGTTGTGCTGATTCACCAGCTCCACCGTGGGGCGAACTTCGGCATCGGCGTATTCTAGACCTCACGTGTCCCAAGGACCAGGGAATAAACCCGATCTAAACCCTTGCAACCTTGCAGAAAATGTACGCAAAAACCCAGACCGGCAAATAACAACTAAGCCTTTTGAGACCCTGCCCCAAACTGTACAAAACACCAAAATGGTAAACAGGTCCATCCGATTTGGAGTGAGTGACCCTCAGTCCGGTCGATCTTGCCCACGACCACTGCGGGCGTGTAAAGGCCGAAGGGGGCAATATGTACCTCAGATGTGGAATGTGCCTGTCCAAAGAGACCCAGCACGACAGGACCTGACAAAACGCCCCCAGCGTCAAGGCCTCCTTTGTCCCGGTTTTTGCCTTGTTTGCCGGTAAGGCTTATTAATCCATTAGCCTTGGGGGGTCCTTTGGGTGTTGGTCAGGCCCTGACCATAGAGTTACATATTCCGATGGTGTGCGAGGTTAGCTGAACGTGTCGGAAATGGGATTAGCTGCGGTTGCCCGGGGTTGCCAAGCACACCTACAGGTTGCCGAGGGTCTGTGGCTTTGTGGTGGTTTGGGTGCCTCGAGAGCGGGTCCCAAGCCAAACGAGAACACGTCGCCAGGCAAGGAATTGGGTCTCCAAAACCAGTGGTTGCCTTCGAGGAGTTTACCTATGTAAGCAGCCTTTGCTTTTGGGCCCTAAAGTCTATCCCACGCAAAATCTTCTACAGGGGTTGACGTTGGGTGGAGTTGCGGATTTCCCATAAGAAGAAGTTCGCTAGTTCTGAGGAGGAGCCGGGGCCACTGATGTGAGCCACACGTGGCGGTAGATGCCGCCCCCATCATACCACCACCCATCCGGAGACGTGGCGTCCGCGCGCACCGCGAGCAAATTCTCGCAGCCGGACCTGGCAAAAAAAACACCGGCGAATGGGAGCCGCGCCAGGGGCATCCAATCCCAGCCTGGTAACAAGGAATCCTTTCTTGGGGTGGAAGAGATTGAAAAGAAATGGCCAGTTAAACTTCTATTTTACTGAGAGTCTCCCAAGTAAGAGGCTTTGGACAGCTTCCAGGAGCATTTGGGCCGGGAAGCCTAGGAATGCCAAAAGTGGGGGGGGGGGGGGCAACCACCAAAGATGTGAGATGTAAAACCCATTTGCCCAGCCACCGCAGAAAAAAGGTCCAGCAAACGGCACAAAGGTATCACCGAACAACAGGGCGTATTTTCAACCAACAGGAGGGTCTAAATGCCAAAAGGCAAAGGTCTGGGAAGTACCGCCGGCCGAACCCTTCACATTGAGCTGAGCGGCTTCAGGGTCACTTGGCTGATGTCCAAGAGCCTCGGAGTGTACCCGGAGAAGTGGTCTCCAAGGAACTCACCATTCAGCCACACCTGGGCATGGGACCCAAAATTTTAGGTATCGAAGTGGGGCAAGGGACCGGCCAGCTTTCTAGAGGATGGCTTTCCTCTGCACCGTTGATCATGGTTGGGAAAAGGGTATAAAAAACATGCCGCCTTCGTAGGACCATATGCAGTGTACAAGGGCACATCACCTGCCACGGCACCAAAATTCAAAATGTTGGAACCTGATAAGCATTCCAGCTGGATGAATGCTGAGCTGCTATTTCTAAAACAAGGTTGGAACAACTAGTCATCCCTTGTGTTGTGTTGGTGCCAAAAAGACAAATGCAATTCTAGATTGCAAAAGCATTGGATATTGGTCCTACTACCGCTCATCTTGGCCCTCTCCAGCACTGGGGAAAAGACAAGGCCCTTTGACTTTTGTGCAATTGCAGTGCTGCCCCGGACAGTGAGAGGACCGGGGACCAAAGACTACAGGGGAATTAGGGGGGAGGTCCGGGGGAAAACCCTACACAAACTTTTTGGTTGGATCTTGAACCTTCGGGGGGGTGGTTCCTCATCATGGGTAAGCATTAACTGAAATGCGCCTGTGAATATCTGGTAAGGCCGCCCTCCGCGAATCCCTTGTCAAAACAACATAAAATTACAAGGTTAATTTGTTGGGGTTCTTGACTAGAACAGAAGAAGAGTCAGATGCCGTCGATTTGCTGTGGACAAGGGGCATGTTTCAACACAAGTTGTTCATAAACCACCCCTACCGGCTGTGGGCCACCGAACCGCCTGGAATAGGCATAACGGCATAACCCATTGTGAGATCCAAATCCCTACTGGGGCCCCTCCCCCCAACAACACAGCGTAACATGCAACACCAACAGCCCTCATGTACTTGGAGGTCATCTTTCTTTGGAATGCGGACCCTTTGACTTCCTTCCGTGAATTTCATGCGCGAGGGTGAAAAGAAAACCCTGGATGCACACACCCCTCATTGTTTTTGTCTTGGGGAGCGTCCTAATTTGATTCACTCTTCCAACCCCCTTGCTGATCCGCAAGGCATTAACCCAGGGTCTGCTCGTCTTAGTGGTTCGTTGATCCCTTGCAAAAAGTTAATTACGTTGCGCTGGGATATGCGCAGTCCGCTAACTTCCTGCCAGTCTCGGAAAGTCCAAGGATGATACTTCCGTGTGTCCTTCTTGAGGGGACTCAATTGGATGATATGAGTCGCTTTTGAGGCTAGCCCATTGGTGGCCGGTTTGTTTTTTTCCATCAAAACCTAGAGGAAACCCGAAGCCGCTTTGGGGGTCCCTCAAAGACAGGCCCATATGGCTATGGGTCGAAAGCCCGTAGCCCCAGTGAACATCCCATTCCCAGAAAATTAGACTAAAATGGGTGGTGAATTCACCTACCCCAACATGGGATCCCAGCGGCCTCAGACTCGTTTCCGCCGGCCTGGCTGCGCACCATCACCCCCTCGAACTCCAGCCACCCCTGCCGATTCTCCGCTTGCTTTTTACGTGCCAAGCACGTGTTACCGATCGAGTGGATCGCCCAAAAGTCAGAGAACTTTCTATTTACGACCAAAACCGTATTTCAAAAACAGACTGAAGTCCAAGAAATCAGAAAGAGCGAGGGGTGTCCAAGGACGAAGGATTTGAAAGGAGGCGACTGATCTCAATCAGTTTGGGCAGGCCCATAGTCAATTTTGCCAACTTTGGGCCAGTTATCAGGAACCTAAGGAATAATTCCCCATTTGGCTCACTTGTTTTTGTTCATAACCACCCATGTTCTGGGTGGTTTGCCAATTTTCTGCAGAGAAGGATTCCTAAACAGAATGGGGAGGGGTATGGCTAGAAAGAAGCCCAGCGCAAAACCTAGCAAAGTCTCTCAAGTCGTCAGGGTTCACACGGGGCCTCACTGAACCAAGTAGCACAGGGGTCACTACGTAGAATTCGCCCTCCAAAAGTGGGTGGGTCTCGCAGTCTCGCATCGTCATTTAGGGGATCTGGCCCAACATAGCTGCATGAACCTAAACCAACCGTTCCATTCAGAAATGAAGGACCTACTTGGCTGCGAGTTTCTGTGAGGGTATCTATTCTTGAATTGAACTACATGGCAAGCAAAAGGAGGCCAATCATTTTTCCACATGCCGATATGGAAGCACATGTGAGCTGAAACTGCCCCGAAAGTCGGGCCATTTTGGCCGGGGACCTGCCACAAAGACGGGGAACTTGTGGAATCAACATTGAACATGGTGTTGGGAGGCGTTCCCCACGCCTCATTTGATTCCTCTAAGCAACTTCCAGGACATCCTACGGGACACTCGCATGCTGGATATGTGGCACATGTGTAGACCTTACTGCGGGTTTCGTTACAAGTGGCACCATCGCGGGTGCGGGCATCTTAGCCTCTCTAAAATTGAGAGGGCCAGGCTCCGGTGCCTACGAAAGACGCTCCATGGGCTTCTTCTTCTGGCGCCCAAGGATGCGATGATCCAAGTGCGACAGAGACAGTGGAGGGTTGGTACAGCTTCCCCCTTGGTTTGGAGCTTGGTTTGGGCTCCAAATCCCCAAACCACCAAGAAGCATTTTACGAGTACGAAAAAATGTCCAAGCTGGTAGCGGTTCCTTTCTTTTGCAGGCCAAACATGAAGAGAACAACAAAACAATCATTGCAACAAACACCCAATCAGTGAAGGTGGGATTCGCCAAGCGAAAATGGATCCCTTGAGAGGCCGTCATTACAGGGACCGTGCAGACCCTACCCCTCACAAGACGGCCCCCTTCCCCCTCCAAGCGTGTTCTGGAGGTTTACCAGCCAAAAATAGTTGGAGGAGGGGGGTCTGTAAGGTTCCTGACTTATCGCATCCAAGCGGCCCAAGTCACCAGAAAGATGAAGCCAACCCTCTCGCAAACAAACATGGTTTAGTGCCCAGAACCACAGGACCCTTTGGGAAGAGGATTCTCCTCTTCAAAGGAATGCCTGGTGGCTTCCATGTTAGCCTAAAGAATGGTATTGGCATGCACTTCCATGCATGCTGGGTGGGGTTGGGGGGAGGGGGTACCTGTTTCCCTTTGTTAAGCCCGCTCTTGAAGACCCACATTTACGATTTTCCTTGAAGCGAAAACAAGGCTAAGAGTGACAGGCGTCTTTTTCCCAAATTGGCGACCCGAACACACCTGCCCGAAGCAAGGCTGTGGAAAGCCCCATCACTTTACAGGGGGCTTCCTTGGCCACGCAGAAAGTGGCGACCAAGGATCCCCTCGGAATTTTCGCCGTACTTTTTTCGGGTTGCCGTTTGGGATATCCAAAGGGTATCACAGGTGGTCAAAATGAGTCGTGTTTCCCAAACGGACTAGCGATACTTTTGCGCGTCCCTTGATTTGTCTTGGACATGTCAACTTGGCCAGCAAAAGTCTGAACTTTCTGTTTACCACCAAAATGGTCCAAACCCAAGTGGCGAAAGAACTCAGGGAGTGAGCTTCGTGAGATTCGTGAGTTCCCTCGCCAAGTGGACCAAGGGCGCCTGCATCTCCTCGACATTCAGGCAGAGGCGTTTCCGGTACCAGCCCACCTTGTAGGGCAGGTAGCCATGGGACTTGTCCTTTCGCATGGCCAAAACACCGGGAGGCGATTGATTTTGCAACAAAAAAAAGGGGAACCAGCCTCATTCCAACCAAGGAAGGTTCGGACAGTTTGGTTGGCGACTGGTCCTCTAGACCCTCGGTCCACTCCCAAGATTGTCGTCTTCGGCCCTCGGCTTATTTTTTAGCCAGCACTTGCAGGAGCTGCACCAGTGCTGGCGAACAACTCTTTAATGGCCATCAAACAAACTGCAGTATTTTCCTGGCCCTAGCAGTTAAAAAACATATAAGAAACAAGGGTGGCCGCCAGTAAATTCTCGGCTGCGAATCCGACAGGTGAGGCTGCCCACTGCCTTAAACAAGGCCTAGCGAGGCTTATGAACCCCGAACCCTTGGTCTTTTGGCACCTTCACCTTGGTGGCCTGCTGAAAAGGACCCTCAACGGCCGATCCCTTCACACATAAAGGACATGTTTGGCCCATTCAGTGGCATGTTGCAGGACACCCCCCCATTTACAAATCCGCGCCAAGGAATCCTTAGATTACAAATATGCCACAAGCTGAAACATATGGGTCCAACCTAAAGGATTTTCGGAAGAATGCGACCATCTCAGAAGCAACCGACAGCTGGAGACAAAATGACATACAGGGTGACCAATGTTGAGTCTTTCCGTTATGATTGGTAAAACAAATCTTTAGTTGAACAAACACGTTCATCTCGCCGGGGGGAAGATAGTGACCCCGGCGAGCTTGTTGCAGTGGGCGCAAAAGGAAATAATCTCTGACCTACTGTGAATTCGATTATTATTGTGTCAGGGAGCAACACGGGGTTGTTCCTCCCGTTTGACTCGAGATTCGAATCGCGGATCGCAGAAAACAATCCAAACCGAGACCACCAAATTAACAGCCACTGAGCAGGTGCTCCCGTTCGACACTGGCAGTCTGGCAGGGTGAACCCACACAAAAAATGTCCCTGCGAAAGTGGAAAGGGACAAGGGAACCAGTTGCCAATGTGCCCCTGTGTTCTGGTCATCTCTTGGCTCAAAGCGCGGGCACCTGCATGTTGCAATTCCGTTGGAACAAAACAACTCCACTGGAAAGTCACCCAGTAAAATGGCGTACTACCAACAGGTGAATGCTTAAAGCAAGCCTTTGGGGCACAGGAAGTCCCCAAGGATCTTGAGGGTTGTTTTTCCGCATCCAAAAGGGGAAGCAAAGAGGGAGCCCCGTCACGCCGGAACTCCATTTGTCCAAACTCCAGCCCCCCCCCCAAGGCCCCCAAGTTCCGATCCAGCTCCGAGAGCTCCAGCCGCCCCGGCCCTTCGGGTGTCGCTCGCTTTCGAGTTTCGGCTGGCGATGTGAAATGCGCCGAGGGTCCGCGTGGGGGCTGAAATTCCCGGCCACCACAAAGTCGTGGGGTACATCCAGCAGCTCCCAGTGCGAGTCCTAAGCTATCAGGTTAGCTAAGAGGATCCTTAGGTCACCATGTGGGGCAAGACTAGCCTAGGTGCGTTTGGAGGATTCATCTAGTAAGTTGGTTGCTATGGTGAGAGGGGCCTTCCAAGGCCCAGAAGTGGCTTAGGAAGCCCATGGCCCAAAACTACAAAGCTGAACGGCTAAGAACTTTCAAGGAGTTCAGCATACCCAAAAGTTGCAACTTGGTGATTTGGTGATTTGGAGGTTGCTGGGTGACGCCCATTCGACCCTAACAGCCAAAGGTTCAAATCCCGAAGAGCCGCCCATGGAAGCCTATTAGTGTGTACAGGTTTGCCGTCACTGATCACCACCAGTGCATTCCGGCTTACCGCGATCCATTTCAAGCTCGGCGAGCTAAGGCTGTCAGGAATTACCAGCAGATCGGGATAAGCACGGGATAAGCTCGGGTTAAGACCTAAAGCCGAAGCCTTTTTAGGCCCATTTGCCAGGGGAATCTTGCAAGAACCGCAACCCGTGTCGCAGTCGATTCCACACAACTTGATGCAAAGGGGGGCGCAGTGAGCAACCGGGAATTTTGTGCCGTACGTAAACCTTGATAGCTTGATAGAACCAAGTGTCTCTAGGTTTGAGGATGAGCAGGCTTCTTTCTAGAAGTGCCCTCCCCATGCTGTTCAGGGATCCTTCTTGAAACACATCAACGCCCTGAAAACATGGATGGGTGATGGGTGAACAAATGGGGAATCAACCCTAACAAACAACAAGCGGCCAACAGTTGACTGAAGCTGGCCTGGAGACTGTAGACCCAAGTAGGTATGTGTCAAACCAGGGAACCCAAACCATTGTCATTTCGATGTTCCCTTGGCTTCCTTTCAAATTCCAAGATGAAAAGGGCACTCTTCCTCCCACAAGCATAGCACCTTCGGGAGGGTACTTGCAAGATCCAGTTTCCTCTCAAAGGAACCCCCTGTGTGCTGTGTCAGTGGGAGGGAGGGCCCAATTTGGGTGTGGGTCAAAAATAGGTACCAAAAATGCAACCCTGGCAAATGGAAACATGGACGATTTAACCTGCGGTCCAATTCCTAGTGGTTTAATTTTGACCCATACCCACATCGTGGGCTTAAGCCACCAGTGGTTGTGGGTTGGAGACGTGAACCAGTGCTCACGTTCATGGCTGTGGCTCAAAAAATGTAAACAAATGAACCACTGGTCCACCATTTGACGAAGGCCGCGGTGCATTGAAGTGGACTTGGCACTGCTCGTGGTCGCAGGGCTGGCCCACCTTGGGCCTCTTTGGGCGCATCGAGGGGTCGCCTGCGCGGTTGGTTGCGGTGAGGGCCATGGCTCCCTTAGGGACAGAAAACGTCAATCCGATACCTGGCAGTCACAAGGATTGAGGAACGCAAATGAGAACCTACCATTTGCTTATAGAGATCCTGTAAGCTTCGAAAGGCTCCCTAGGCAAATTGGGATACCAGCCTTGGCTACCCTTCCAGTCATCCACTCCCCCGAATCTCAGTAGACGTTTGGCTCCAGGCAATGTTGACTGCAATCCACTCCCGTCACTCCCCCGAATCTCAATAGAAGTTTGGCTTCCCCGAAACAAAGCAGTCTTGTAAGGGGCTCCCGTTCAAACACTACAGTAGGCTTGACGTTGAAGTGAGACACAAGTATGCATGGCAAGTCGAGGAGCGGCATGACTAATGGTCCCAGCGCAAATCCACAAGCAAGTGATCCTAATGAGACCCGACTTGTCAAGGGGGTGGGTGGAGGGGGGGGTAGAATCAACTGCAAAAAAGTTCGAGCCTTCCCCTTGCCACTGCCCAGCAGTGCTGCAATTGGCCAAATCGATGAGTCCTTCGCAGCCAGTGACCGATTTTCGGGAGGCAATGGTTTCCGCTGTCGCCTTTGGTTCTTCTGCTGAGTTGCTTATCACCCACAGATTTTCTTGCTGGGACACTGCGGAGCTTATCGTTGGCTGATCCAGGAATGGACTCCCCCAATAGGCCCCTCCCCTCCCAGCAATCTTAAGAAAGCGGCAACATAAATCCCCATTGAATCCGCTAAGAGTTCCCTGCGCATGATTTCCTAAGAATCGTCAACGAACGCGAAAGGGGCGGTCAAAATAGCCCCACCGTAAATAGTGACTTACACTCAAATCAAGCCAAGGGTCATTGAATTTGGGCTGCTCCTCCCAACCCCTCAAACATATAGTCCCTTCTGCAAAACCTGAAGCAGGATTCCCAATTACAAAAACATCATGGGTTTGCGTACGCTTTGCCCCCGAATCGGCGAGCTCGCCGGTCGTCCTTTCCAGCAGCTGTTGGGGGCCTCGCAGGTTGCGTTCGGCCCGCACCACTGCCAGGCATTGCAGGAAACGTCCTCGCCTGGGATCCCAGTCTCGACCAGGGGCGATGAACCATCTACCTGGACCCTGAAACTACCCTAAATATGGGCAAACCCTTCTCAAAGATAATTTTGAGGGTCCGGGTATTTTTGTTTACCAGCAGGCACAGAAGTCATTGTGGAAAATCTGATGGCCCTGATAGATAGTTACCAGACAGAAACCAGTGCCAGCTACTGGTCATCAAGAGAACTCCAGTGATTCCATTTTCCTGTTTAGCAAATAAATGTGATTCACAAAATGAAAAGCCCAGAAATTTATGAAGTGGGCATGTCCTGGAAAAAACCACCCAAACAGAAACTCAATTTAGATTGGCCACCAAAAGGTGAGGTGTAAATCGCCCAGCTTGATTGCCCTAGCGGGGCGCCGGGCAAAATCCGCTACCACCTGGCCTGGTAGCTCCGAAATGCGCCCTCTCGAGAGACAGATTTGGATACCCTCAGCTCCGTAACTGCGTTTCTTTGGAATCGGACAAATTTGGAGGAACTTCATAGAGCCTGCTTTCTTCCCCATGGACCTCGTGAAATGATCTGAAATGGCCTCCTCTGTGTCTTGAAATTTGGGAACCTCGCAAACTGATGGTGTCCTCTGGTTTTCCTCCATAACCATTCCAAAACGGTGTATCCTCACAAAACGCCAGACCCAAATCCTGCACCATTTTGGCATGGGCGGAGCCCTATGTATACTGGTTGATATGCCACCCGGCCAAAAGGGGTATCCAGCCAGTAAATCCCCAAAAGCTCAAAGTAGAGGGACCCCCAAACTTGTGAATATGCCAACCGCGGCTCAGTCGCAGCAGGCGGCGCGGCAAGCGGCGGCGCTGCCTGGTCCCCCGTCCTCTGGGCGGCCCTGCTTCGCCAGGTGCGGGCACCGACCTGGGCGCGCGCAGGGCTCCATGCACGGCTTGGGCAGGACATCCTACAGGAAAACAGCTAAAATAGTGTGTGTTTTTAGGGTGGTTTGTGTAGATGTTCCTGGAAGTGAAGGGTGTTTTTAGGGTTCTTTTGGAGCCTTGTTCCTGTAAGTTAACCCTTTCATCCATATATCTGTCCCCTTTTGTGGTTTGTGCAGCATTTGAGGGTCGATGCTTTGATGGTTTACTTGGGTGCTGCAACGACCCTTCTGCAACAAGCTTAACATTTTGTGGGTCAACTGAAGGTCCGGCCAGATTCACTAAAAGTTAAAATGCAACCAAATACCCATAAGGGTTTAAACATGTGGCGGTGCCTTTGTGATTCTTGGCACGTTTAAGGTAGGTGTCCCTTGGTAGGAGTCATTTTTGGTCAGAGCCTGTAGAACTTCAATTTTTGTGATGATCCGGAAGCTTGCTGTCCAAACGCCAAACCAAACCAGTAGAGAACCGCCCGCGCCCGGCTGCTCGGACATCCCCCTACTGTGGGTGGACGAATGTAGCAGGACCCCCCGCTCCCCATATTCAACGTTGCTTTGATGGGCTCTAAAGGTGGTGCAGGAGTTCGTCCATTCAACTTCTTTACCTTCAGCGTGTTTTCAGCCCCGCAAGCCAATGCTGCGATGTTCTGTCCACCCGCCGAATGACTGGAAATCATCCCCCCCTTCCTCCATTTGCCCATAATGGAAACCACGGGAACTGTACACAAAGCGGTCCTGAATTGCAAACTCGGTTGGGCCATTTGAAAAGAATACCATGGCCCTTGCTTGCCCTAAGCAAATCGTCTTCGTCTGATGCGATGGTCTTATTGAATATTTAGTCAAGGCCCTGAAAGGTTGAACGTTGGTATGTCCATGTCTTTTGCGATACAGACATTTGACTTGCGAATCCCTATAGGTTTGTCCTTGTAAGGTGAAGCTATTTCAGCACCGTTCGGGTTGCCATTGAAAGTAAGCTTTGGTTTTTTGGTGAGCCTCGACCACTTAACCCCGGCCGGTGTAGTTGGGGCTGGGTACTTCGAAAGTGGCCCAGGACGGTTGTGATAACCCACTTCAGGGGCGTGCGCGCATGGTAAGTTGCTTCTTGACGTGGTTGCCTGACACCGCTGGCAATTAATCTATAGGGGACACAATCATCAAAATGGTGACCAAGGCCTTTCACGTCTGGGAGATTTGGGCTGGCCTCATGTTACCCCCCGGCCAAAGGTATTTGCGCCATGTGGGCAGGAAAGCGCAGGGATCCCTGCAGCTTGCAATTGGTGCGCGCGCCCTTCCCCAGTTGCATTGGGGACCTCTTCTGCGCTAGCTTTCGACCCCTTGCAAAACATGAAGCCAAACCGCAAAACATGAACAACAAGTAACTAGCTAGGTCTGGCCTCCCACAGCTCAAACACAGTATCAAAGACTGGCGGAACTGAGGAAAACACCGCCCTCAACAGGCTCCATCCACTGCAGCTTCACCAAACGCCAACTAAAGGAAGAGAGGTTGGCATGTCCATGTGGAGCAAAGCCCACTAACTCAGGAAGTGAGAAGTATAAACTTGGTTGACGTTGAAAGGGGAGCAACAAATTAAATGTTAGCAGTTAAGAGGGGATTTCCCACTAAACCACAATAAGCAAAAATGCAAAATGTGTCCTAACGACACCCATGTTAATGCTTGTCCTCCAAAAGGCCAGTAACAAAGAGAATTGGGCCAAGCCCTGGATAAAGCCATAGGTTTAAGCCACAATTGTTTGAGCAGTTGAAGCGGGGAGGTTGGTCGTTCAATGTGGTGTACCGTGCCAGCCAGCTTTGAACGATACTCAGTGACCATGCAAAAAAAGGGCATCCTTTTTTGGTTGGTCAAGTTCGCAGGGGGAACCTTCCCCCCACCAAAAAAAGCGAAGAAAGGGCACCCCCGGGGCCACTGGGCATGCGCCCCACCCCCGCCAAAACCCGCTCCAACGGCTCCAACGGCCTGGCAGGCTCCGTGGGAAGGTCCCGGCGGCACAGCTCCGCGGGCGGGACTCCTCCAGGGCGAAGCGCCAAGCCTCGTCCAAGGACCAGACCTGCGAGCCATGCCCTCCAATTCCAGGGGTTGATTTATTCCTGGTCCATTCTTTTCAACCTCCAGTTCTTTCCAAAAACCGGATCCGTCTTCCCCGGGCTTCCGGGGGCTTTCTGGAAAGATTCGGATGGAAAGAATGGACTTGGAAGGTACCCCCAGACCAATGGGTGGAGCTCGGTGGTTGGAGCTGGAGCTCCTGGAGCTCGTCGGGGATGGTCTTCCAGCTGGAGATGAATGGTAAGATCATCTCCAAGGCCACTTGAAACGGAGGGACCCGTAAACCCCACCTTACGCGCTACGAACACCCTTTGGTTCAAATCCCCAAGCCGCAAATTCATGCCACCAATACAATCCATGTCAAAAATGCTCGGTTCCAGGTTCAGCTCTGCAGCCGGGAAGTCCCCCCTGAACCAACCAAGTAGGTCCCGCTTTGACTGGTTGACTTGACTTCGCCTGGCGGCCCCGCGCAAGCGCAGCCCAACAGAAGGTCGGCAGCAGCACCGCTCGAAGCATGGCGCCAGGGGAGGTTTCAGTAACCCTCAGAAAAGGTTGACCACTGTGGCATGGCCATTTTTTGGTAGAGACCAACCAAACCAAACGGAACAACGATGACGGATCAACTGGGGCGGGAGAACTGGGTGGTGTAACAAACACATGTCCACTAGCGGCTTCCATCAAGGGAAGTCAGCAACATACGGGTTTAGAAACCAAGAAAGCAAACGGGCCTGGTGGCTGAAATGAGAAAGAACAATTGCTGCTCCAAACCTGATAGGCACGCACATGCTGGCAGCAGCTCGCACAAACCGAATCGCAAGAGGCGACTAGTCGTTCCCTCCTGTGGTTGATGTGGCTAACTTCAGACTGCCATCTTTGCGAAAGCTATCACAAGTTCGTGTGTTGCCGACGGCTCGCTGTACTGCATGAGCATGGTCCATGACGAACCTTTAATGTGAGCAAAAGGCTTGCCGAGACAGTCTCCAACAGACAAACGCACACGCGCACAAAATCACGAAACACTTCTCACGTCCGGTATCCTCATGCATCCTCAGGCATCTTCAAGCGCACGAGGTTGAACATCTCAATGTGTCAAAACGTTGGCTGAATGCTGAAACCAGAGTCCTTCCCATGTGTGTAACAACACCTCATGTAAATTGCTGGCCGCGCTGGTCCCGCAATGGACATGGGAAACTAGAGAGCAGGGGAACTTAGCAAGTCCCCCATGCCCTCCCAAATCTCCATTGGAAACTGGGGCTACTGAGATACTAGCCAGGGTTAGACCCTGCCATGGTGCTTTGTTGAATGACCGTCTTTGTCTGAGAGTTAGGTGGGTCCTGACAAAGCCACAGGATGCCTCACAGCGTCCGGTGCCTGCGCCCGTCTTGCAGGTCGCCACAGCCTGCTGGCCGTCCCTCAGAGCGACGATGCAAGGGCTGTGCCCCCATCCTGGAACAAAATGCAGTAGTTCTCACTAGGCCTGACAAAAGTCCGTCAGACTACTTAAGGGAGGCGCTGATGGCGGAGCTGTAAGATACCTTCAAAGGTGAAGGGCATATCCACGTATGGGGTTTGGAGGCATGGATGACCTGTATAAGCTGGTAAAGAAACCTGACAACCCATACCTCCCAAACCCATACCTTGAAAGCTTCTTGACCATGGGAGAATGGGCCCAACACTCAGGCGTGGCCATGTTTTCTTTCCTGAGCCTGCAGTTCTCAGCAAAGTCTTTGCCGAGCTCACTAATGGCTTCAAACAACAATCTTGCTCAAATGCACTCGTTAAGGCTTGCGAAGGCTTACTAGCCATTACAAAGTGTTACTCAGCACTGCTGAGCAACAGTGTATGTTTGATGCTTTCTCCCTTGATTTGACCCCTCCCCCCCCTTGACCCCCTCCCCCTTAGCACCATATCAACTCATCCCCTTTTGTAACCAGCGTGGAAACAAACATGTGTTTTCAGGGCTCCTCTCCTATAAATATCGACTTAAAAAGGGTTGTTCTGAAATCCTTGACAAGATTAGACTATGGACTCCTAACCACAGGAAACCAAACAACCGTTCAATCCATCCTTTGGACACTCCGAGAAACGCAGGGCCCGAACCATGCAAAACGTGAAGGGGTTCCTTCAAGGCTGGAAAAAGCGCATCCCCTTTCGGATTCCTGTGCGAAATTATGGGCAGACCCAAATGATCCCTGGTTCCTAGGACCCCGCAAAGGGTTCATGAGACGATGGTGCTCGGGAGTCTCCAAGCGGTCTTTTGGTTTGACTTTGAAGGCCAGAGGTTGACGGGTCATGTTGTGAATCGATTGTAGAAACCCCCAGAGGACCAGTTCGAATTCACCATTCCAAAGTAAGGACGTTTGAAAAGAAATCAAGCACCAGCTTCAGCCCGCCTTAAGGAGGGGGACAGAGGGCAATTACCATCCATATATGCAGTCTCCCCTAAGGGGGCCTGTGCCCAAGAAACAAAGGAAGCGACCAAAACCTCTTGTGAGTTTGCAACTTCAATTTACCCAAATACCCACTCCCAAGGCCCTGGCAAGTCTGCAGCCTGCCAAGCGGAAACGGACTTGCCCAGCCGATCGGGGGCAAAAGTGATGTAGGTCTTGGGTAGGCCTTGTAATTATCAGGTGCTGGGAATAGACTTTGCAGTTCCTTGCTCCTTTGGCAAAAGTCAGATTCAGACATGGCTGAGAACCGTCAAGCCAAGAGGTCCATCTGCCGAAGCCATGGCTTTGGCTTTGGGGCCTTCATGGGTGAGCTGGCCCGCGAAAAGGGAAACCACAAGAAACTGAAAAGGTGAATGCATCCTTGAGGATGACAGATAAGAGAAGCAACAACCGACACCCAAAGAGGCCCAAAGAGCCAATTTTCTAGATTCCTGGAAAAATGTGATGTTGTAAGGTCCCATATCTTAACCCAAACCCCAGGAAGGGTGGGGTGAACGTGGCACCAGCCTGGTGAAGAAGCTGTGTGCACCCACATTTTCCTTCGGCTTGGTGCGAAGATTTTGTAGCGCAGACATGGATCGACTTGGACCATGACTTCTGCGCGTGGGCTTGGTGAAACTGGGTGAAACCGGCCGGGCTTGCTGCCTGCATGGGACTCAGTCAAGGACATGCTTGGACAAATCAAAGGAACACGTGAAAATTCCTGAACGGTGAACATGTTCAACATGATAGTCGAAGATCACGCTTCGAAAAATGGAAAAGTGGCGTTGTGGAAAACCACGGCTTCTGCGACAAAAAAGCAGGTTCCTACCCTACTGAGACTGCTTCACGTTTTGGCGTGTCCCCCCTCAATATTCCCAACAAGGTGAAAGGTTGTTTTTGTTGCTTGTTTTTGTTGTGTTTCTTTTTGGGGGGGGGGGAGGCTCACCGAACACAAGCGGCCCGCGGATTATTGCGCGTACGGAGACTGGCTCACATCGGTCGGGGCCCGTGGCCGGGGCCTGGCTGATCATGGCGTGGGGGCCACCATGACCGGCAGTAGGTTGGGGGGTGGGTGGGGGGTGGGTGGGGTGGGTGGGGGTGGGTGGGTGGGGGGGGGCGAAGCTATTTCAACCAAATCATCTAACACCAAAACCCATCATGTAACACACCTTGTGTGAGAGCTCCAGGGCCAAGCACCCTGAATAGGTGCCACTTGTATTGTTTATGTACGGTTGCATATATATATATACATATATATATATATATATATATATTTGCAAAACTCTATAAACGTGTGCAACCAAATATGCACCACTAATAATGACAATCCGATTGGGTGTTGAGTATGTGTACCTCTTTATGCCTGTGTATATATACTTGTATGTGTATAATTGTGTATATATATATATATATGTGTGTGTGCGCGTACATGTGCGCACAGGTAACTTTTGGGCACCAGCTCCAGGGGCATGTGAGTGAGCCTTTCTGCATGCCAATGTTGACATTGGATTCACAAACGCCCCTGACTACTACGGCGCGTTTTTGGACGAATACTAAACACAACTCTGACGCGGGCCTCTGGGACCAATTCGAATTAGTATCGCGCGTTGGACAGAACCAAGTTCCCGCATCAGAAATCATGTCAATGTGATTTCCGTTCTGGCCCAATTGAAACTTTATCGGATTTCCGGATGCGTCGTCAGTTTCGGGGAGCGGCCAACTACAACGACCTTCTCGCGCAGACCCCCTTCTCCCCCCCAGAACCCATTTAATCTGAGGTTTGACCTTCTGGCTGGCGGGGAGGGTCTATTAATCCGACGTTAACATTGACTAGTGGTAAACGGAAGTGCTGAACTCACACACGAAGGAATCCTTACTTCATGATATTTCCGCACCGTAGCAGCTGGTCGCTACCAACAAATATAGGTCACCCGGAGCACTTTTACCAGGGGTAGGTTTGTCTGCAAAGAGTTACGTGCCGCAAGACTGGAACAGCCACCTGCCAAACCAAACAACAGCCATGACTCATTGCCAATATCGAGACGGCAGTCACTCCGCGCTCGAGGTCCGAGCTTCCGGGTGTGGCTGTAGGCGTCCCGTAGGTAAGCGATGCCCTGCTGGAAGATCTTGGCCTGGCGAGGCAGCTGGGCTTGGACTTCCACATAAAAAAGAAAACAACTACCCTCCTGCCCCCATCAGAGGCTCCATTATTTTGAGGAAAACTTCTTTTCAACAAATTGACTTGAAGGCATAAGGCATAGGGATTGCCCCAACGGCTCCAAACAACGATTTTCGAAACTTGGCTCATCGGGCTCGGACCCCCCCCCCCGTTGGACAGGGTTCACCCCCATGAACAAAACATGCCTTCCAAGGCAGCGGACTCCTCTCACTGCCTGAGCCTGGCACAACAAGCTTTTAAACTACCCTGGTAGCTGGTAGAAGGGGGGCCCTTTTTGAGGTGAGGCATGGTTCGGCTTCCCAGAAATAGGTAGCTTGGTTTGGTGGCTTGGAGCTTAGGCCAGAAGTTCAAACCCCCACCCCACACCATCCAAAGCTCCAAGGGTGGGGGAAAGCTGATTGCTTGCCACCACCCGACTAAAGAATCAGGAACTCCATCGTCCACAACCGCCCTTGGGACCCCATCGTCCACCGCCTGTTTCGATGATCTGGATCTTGTTGGGAACCCCCCCCCCCCAAACATCCGCTAGGTGGACGAATCAGGGGTCGACATTGGCATCGGGCAGCAAAACCAGTAGGATCCAAGCCCCTTGCCTTAACTCTGAAGGCCTTCAACTTAAGGCCCTTGGAGGAACCCCCGATTGAGGGAGGCAAAAACATCCCATGAGTCCCAATCGGATCGGCAAATCGGATCCTCTTCGATGAGATGCTCCGTGGCTTTCTCATTGTGCTTCCGGATGCTCTGGAAGCCTTGGATCGGCCACTCGAGGTGGCCTTTTGGGAAAAATTGAGGGGTTCCCCTAGCAAATGCAGTAAAAAAAACCATCTACACCAGTGGAACCAATCTACGTTCAATCAAACTGACCTCAAAAAAACATAGGCCCCCTTGTTGAACCTTCCAGACCTGAACATCTGCTTCCGGCCTTTCTTCCGACGTGGCTCCGTTCTTCCAACCTGATTGGGTGAACTCCGTTTTGTCTTCTGGTAGGCCTCCAAAAACTCCCGGGATCAACTAACACGGGCAACCCGAAACTTGTTTTTTGACATCCGTTTTGCGTGGAGGTCAAAACAATTTCCCTAGAGCTGTCACCTTTACTTGGCCATGATTTGCCAGCAAACAGTGTAATGCGCATTTTGCCGCGGCAAATTCACACATTGACATCATCAAGGCCCAAGTACGAGACCACGAACTTGTGTTCGCCTCAGGAAAGCTCGCCGCAACTTGCTGGTCACCTCGCAATGGCAAGCAAATACGACCCACAACTGAAACTTGGTAGAAACCCTCAGTCTAATGATTCTAACGGCTCATTAAGCAGAACAACGGCATGGTGGGAAACCACCACCCCGGACCACCCCCCCCAAACTTCAGGGTGTATGTAAGCTTCAGGGAGCCCTTCTGCCACTACATTCCGATAGGTGTACTTACATGGCCATATTGAGGGTTTACCCCCCCCTACCCCCCCATAGCCCCCCTTGGAGGTCCATGATTCCGAGACGTGATGAGGAAACTCAGGCGGAGCCGGACTGTCCCGTGAACGAATCTGGATGTTTTACAGCTTTTGGCCACGGGAAATCATATTATGCAAAAATGGCCCCGCCTTGACCCCCTACACCTCAAACGAGACCCTCACTACAAATCGGCATGTTCTTAAATATTTTTTTACTAAAGGTCTAAAACCTGAAATCAGGGATCTTTGCCATGGTGAGCTCGTTTTCCCCCCGGGTCGGTGAGCTCGCCATAAAACGGGGCAGACACAGGAAGCCGTGGCAAATGAATCCCCCCCGCCGCTTTTCGAACGAAAGCCCAGCTGCGCTGCAACTCCGCGTCCGAGGACTCCTCAATGGCCTGGCAAGCGGCCAAGGGCGCAGACCCTCAAAATGGCGCAGCGGTGCTCTGCTTGGTTTAACCCTTTGAAGCCACTAAAAAATAAGGTACCCACAAAAATCGACACACCCGTACGTGAACATGGAGCCCAAATGGCCACCCCAGCAGGAGTTTCCTCCACAAATCAATTGTGGTTGTTTTTGTTGAGTTGGGTCGGGCGGGAAGGTGTGGGCAACAATCCTGCAATTGGCAAATGGCTTGTCCCAGAATTCTTCGGGTTCTTCCATCCCAACCGGTGCAAAGTGGAGTTGTTTTGTCCACTACATGTTTTCTTCACGGGGCCAAAGCAGTACACACATGATTTTCCCATGGTCACACAAGTGCTTTGGTTTCATAGTGCGCCACAGCCCAATTCTATCCCCCTGCAGGTTGACATGAACTCCCCTCCCAACGTCCAGCTGTTTCCCCAACTGTTCGGCGCGGGCTCTCATCGCATGGGAGCAGTGCTTGTCTCACAGTTCATGGTCTCAATGGCATCTTGTCCCGGCGACATACTCTTCCGTGTGGTGTCTCCTTGGTTTTGGCGTGCCAAGTTACTCACAACTAATTGTCCTCGAAGCAACCTTCTCGCTGGACTGATTGGAGTGACAAATCCCACAAGCCCTCTGAGCGCCCGCTGGCCGGCAGGCGAGACTCCGCCGGCAGGCACCAAGTAGAAACTTTTTCGGGAAGACATTCATTTACAACTGGAGGGTGTGAAAAAGCCAAGAACCCGTGCGCCTGCTTCTTCAACTCGAGCTGGGCCTGGCAGCTTAAGAGCATCCAGAACATCGCATTGAGCCGGGGATGTGTCTCCACGAAACCGTCCAAGCCAGTCATTCACCCGGAATCCTCGAAAATACCCCACCAGGAAAAGGGGGTTGGGGGGTGGGTGAAAAGTGGGGGGGTGTCTTCCCCATAAAAGGGGAATGGCTCACAATGGAGATCTTGAAATCCCCCCTCCCCCAATTCCATATTGGGGCTGGGGATCCCGAAATGCGAAGCTCGCAGGCCTTGATCTCCTGCTCCATGCTGTTGCCCACCTGACAGCGAGAGATGCGGAAGGGATCGAGGGCTGACCCCGTGGATCGCACCTTAAGATCCTCATTCGCACATGGACCAAGGCATCAAAGGGGATTTCCAAACGTTGAAAACCATCATGTTGAATGCAGATCTGTAGAACTGCTGGGTGTGTCCAAGAAAAAAGGCAGCCACATTCTGCGCGCTTCGACGCTTGGGCTCCCAAAGCATTTGGACCCATTTGAAGTGGCTTCATTAAGGCTATTATTCTGGGATAGGATTGGGTGCTCTTCAATGTAGACAGCACACTTTGGGCGGAAGTTTTGCCCTAAATTCCTAAACGTGCGCACAGGCCCTATGTCCCACCCTGGTCCTTGCTCAGCTACTTACTCAAAATTTACGCCTGAATCCTTGTGGTGACCCTGCCTATGTTTAATGGAGTTGAAGTGGGCGCTACCCATAGCAGGAGCATCCTGGGTACATGGCTACTTTGTGAAAACTGTGAATCCATTGCCGACTCAAAATTACTTTGATCAGAGGTTCCATGTGAGCAGGAGATTGCCCTTCACGTTCTAGAAGATTCTAGAAGTTTGAATGCCGCTATTTCTGGACCCAGACCTGTAGGAAATTAAAACGAAAACGCTCAACGAATGTTAGTGAAAGGACCCACAGTGGGACGAACAAGTGGAATTCACAAAGCAAACATCAAGATTGTTTGCGAGAACCCATGTTTCCACCTATTGCGCTCAAATCTGTCCGAATGCCTTTCCCTAGTGCATCAGAGCATCGGAGCTGACATATGGCACCAGCAGTCATAAGAAACGCCAAAGGTTATTTTTTTCAGAACTTAGGGGCTCTTAGCAGCTAAAAACGGAAATACAAGGTTAAGCATGGTTAACCTTGTGGGGCCACTAAACATAAATGGGGTTTCAAACCAAAAGATCAAAAGGCCGATTTGGCTTGAGTGAGAGAACCAGCAGCAAACTGGCATTGTCTAACTGATCTCACCCCAAAACGAGTTGCCCCTTTGGAACAACTCCGAAAGTTACGATTTAGACCTTGAGGTAATTTGAAGATTCCCCATGGATTTCATGCTTGCCCTACAAGAAGTTAATCGATGGGCGTGGCTCAAACGTGAAGAGGCAATCCTCAGGCAGTCTTTGTTTCCATTTCCAAAGGTGCCATTGTGTGGATTCTGTTTTTAACTCACTTCCCAAGTGGACCCAAACAAAACCCAGCCTTTTCGTTTTCACAAAAAGTGTCCAAACCCAACACACATGACGATCAAGTCCACGATTTCAGCGAGTGAAAAAACCGCAGCCACATGTTGGAGATCCCAGTTGGCTTGCGATGGACTTCGCCTCTTTCAAGTCCACCTCCTGGGTGTTGGACTCCTGTCGAGAGGGGTCTGGAGCCGTGCTGGCCAACCAAAAGGTTCCCAGGACTGTTGGGTGTGAAAACTGTCCATACCCAATCAGAAAGCATTAAGTCCAGGAACTCGAGGAAATTGTCCAGAAGCTGTCTGATTTGGGTGTCTTTTTTAATGTTTGGACTGCTTCCACCCCACTGACAAAGGGGTACCAACTCCAAAAAGCCACTTTGCTTTTGCAACAACGGCCCGCAAGGGCGAAGATACCCCATTGACCAAACTGGATAACCTTGAGGCAATGGCAATGAATCTGAAGTCAGGTGAAAATGGCTCAAAAGGGGTTCCTCCCCAAAGCGCGCATGCAAAAGAGACATGACCTCGCAATTTGGGACTTGTCGGAGTTGGACGTCCCGCGACTCTGCCCCGCTCCTCCTGCGCAGCTTCCACCTCCTGCTTCAGCAACTCGCTCTGGCGCAGGAGCCTCGGCTTATCAACGGAGGTCCTGTCAAGGACGTTTCCAGCTGAGTTGGCATGGTCTTTTAGAGAATGTGTATTTGGTATTTTCATTATATATCTATTGTTGTATAAATATGTATACAAATTAATATGCATACTGTATATACATCTTAATACGCATACTGTATATATATATATATGGTTTGGGAGGCATGGATGCCCGTATAACTTGAAACGCGGTAAGTATGCAAGCCGAAAGAAAAAGTCCATACCTCCCTGGAAAGACGGCTGACATGAGAGGGTTGAGGCTGTTTCGGGGTGCCTAGGGAAGTTTTCTGAATACCAAATTAATCTTTTACAGAGTGAACAAGTGCGAACTAACGTTGTCCTAAAGGATAGGCTCGGAGCAACCTTGGATTTTCAAAAATGGAAATGCGACCGTAATACACCATCTCCCTTCCCTTAATAGAGTGGGGATGGTAAATCGCCCTGTCCATTCTTCTAGTCCGAAGGAAAAATGGAAGTCTCGGAGCACACCTGAAAGACCCGGCAGACTGGAGGGCTGGGAGGGGAGCACAGTCTGTCGAGTTCTTTGCCCCGCCCCTAAGGAAAACCGAAAGGACCGTGAACAAACATTTGAAGACGAGTGATCCGAACCATGTGCAAGGTTTTACCCATGTCGCTGAAAGTGCTCAATCCCAGCCATTTGGCCATGGAATGTGTGTGTATGTTGGGAACAGTGCCCCACCAATCTGCGCGAAAATAATGGGCCCCCACCAAAGGGTCTAACCCAAAAAAAATAAGAGTTCCATTTTGGGGGTTGGCTTCTGGTTTTTCGTGGGTCGTACCCTGGACAAATCGGATTTCTCTCCGACGCCAGGCTGCTCAGTGGAGAGGTGGGAAATCGCCTCCTGCGCGCGCTGGTCCTGAAAGCCGGGTTTTGGGAGCCATGGGTCGCTCGAAATACGTTGGGGGGCCACCGTTGAAGTTCCAGATATCCTAAACCAAAGGGATGTCTTACGTGACGATTCGGGTCTCCATTGGGTTCCCTTCAGTTCCCAATAGGGAAGATAGCAATCCTCAAAGGTCCTTTACATGGGATGACCCTTGCGGGAAAACCCACCGAAAACATGATATTGCCCACTAAATGGAAACAGCTGTCCATGGTCATTTTGGGGCCAAATAGATTAAGCTTCATGTGTCAAAAATAGGGAAGTGCCAAAATGGATGGATTTTATACGCTTCCATTTCAGTTGCTGGGAGGGCAGGGTTCCTTTCCCCCTGTTTTGTGCGGGGAAACTTGTGAATCCCAAATGTCCCAGCCTAATCTAAAGCAACTTGGGTGGTATGGGCACCCCCGGGTTCCGCATACCAAGCCCCAGGAAAGACTGTTCATTGAATTATTTGTGGAGCGAACCTCCTATAAAAGGAAGCCTCGCCAGATAAGGTCCCGACCCTTTGTACAGCTCGCTGTCGATATGGGTATGTCCCAAAATAGGAGGCCCCAATAACGGTGGCTTTCCTCGTGGCTTCCCTTTCAAACCACCCGCAAAAAGGGCACACTCCGTCATTTGGGAAGAAATCGAGAGTCCGACTTGCCCCCCGACTTCGTCAACCCGTCCCTTTGGCCATTGAAAACGCAACGCTCAGCTTCCCCCCAATTGGTGGCTTGGTGGTTTCGACCCTGTACAGGAAACAGGGCTTCAAATCCCCGGGATCCCTTGTGTTCGGTTGTGGCTTATGTTTCACCCTGCAGTTTTCACCCCATGATGCAGCGCGGGCCTGGTAAATGTTTGCAATTGACCGTCTTTTTGACAGATTCTGTCACCTGAGTCATGGCACAACTACCGGACGCCCATCCTGATCGAGGGCGGGTCATGGCCTGGGGAGGGGGCAAGCGAATTCGCGGCTCTCCGCGTCTCCTGTTGCTCCAAAAGCTGGCGTAGCTTCTGGTCGCCCTCCGCCCAGCGTGCCTGGACGGGAAATCCGGCAGCCCTACGATCACTGCAAACAAGCCTAACTAATCTTCACAAACACGCAAGCCAAAAACAAACAAGCAAACAGGTAAACATACTGACTAAATAACTATCTAGCTAATCAACTAAGTCTAGCTCACAGGAGCTTCTTTTCCCCCCAATTCAATCTTAACCCTCATGACAACTGTCACCCCTGGGGGTCACTAGAGTGGTTCCCCATTCGGCCGATTTAGCTGGGATCCAAGTGGTTGCTGGTCATATCTTAAAATTATAGCCGCCCCAAGAAAAAGATAGAAAAAGCATAAATAACTGTGGTTGTCCTCGTGGGTTCCCAGTAAACCTGGCCCAAAAGGGGGGTTAACAACACGCCCAAGTAGAGGAAGGTTGGCTATGACTACTTGCTGGGTTCAGAATGATTGGCACTACAAGTGACTTGTCGGTTCTCAATGGCGACTGCCCTTGAGGCAAGCAGGCGAAATGCGACTCAAGGCCGGCTCTGGCCCCGGAAAGTCGGAGTCTATCCGCCGATAGGTCGATGTGACCCTCCCTTGTTCCTTACATCTAGTGATGGATTCCCTTTAAGACCAGGGGTAACAACAACTTACGCAAATGCAAGTGACATTTGGCCCCAAGTTAAAAGACGAAATCACATATACCATGCAAGTAACACCCAACAAAACACAAGGGATGTAGAGGCAGCCAAAACAATAGAGGGTTCTAGCAAATCTCAAGAATCGGACAGCAGCTTCAATTGAAACAAACGTCTCCTTCGGCCGAACTTGTAGAAGTTTGGCATACCTCCTAAAGGAATCCATTATCGCATCTGCGGGAGCAAATGAGAATGTCTCAGAATAGTGGAAATTAGCAAACGTCTGTGCCCCAGCTGGTTTAGCAACCCAACAATACGTTTCCGAGTTGTCCCGTCAACTGCGAATCCATGCGATTGACTAGGTCGATCATTTAGCTGGCCCAGCGTCTGAGAAGCCCCTCCATTTCCCACGCAAGAAGCTTGGGTGGAGTGGAGGTGTGAAAATACCTGCCCATTGCAACAGAACTGGTTCAATTCAAGCTACAAGGCCTCTTCCAGGTGGCCATTGCCTGGCATCGATAAGCTGCGCAAGGCCTGCACTCTGATTTAAGCTCGTCGATAGGCCGGCCGCTTCGGAAGGATCCCTTTGCAACGCTCTTGGCGAGCTGGCTCCTCATACAGAGTCTTAGAAGGCAGTTCGGCAACGAGTAGCCTGATCCTCTTTCCAAGACCAGGTCTGCTGCGTCACCAGGATCCATGGCAGTCTGCACATGGCGAACTTCCTCAATTTCCAGATCCTTCGCGACGCGATCGAGACATGGACACATTCCTATGTCCATTCTTCCCTTTTGGTTTAAAAGGGAGCAAAACACTACATACTCAAGGGCTTAAGACAACCGCAGATTTCCCTACTGACAACCATCAAGATGACAACCACTGAAGCAATCCAACCCCACTGTTTGGTCGCCACTTTCTGTGATATTAAAGGAACCCCTTGAACATGCATAAAACAACTAAAAGCAGACGAGTTCGTTTGTTTGGAACGAACCTTTGTTTGTCACAAATCATTCCAAACCATGCCCTGCCTCAAGAAAGGCATCCTAATTTCAATCCCGTGGACCTGCTTGTGTCAAAGCAAGGCAACCCCACCCCCAAACAATCAAAAAGCCGTGCTTTCCTTGAATACCCCTTTAAACCAGCCCCTTGCGTTTGCAATAAGATGCGCGCTTCTTCGTTGGCCCGAGGCCAACCCCAGACCCCCCACCCCACCCCACCCCACCCCACCCCACCCCACTCCACCCCACCCCACCCACCCCACCCCACCCCACCCCACCCCACCCGACCCGACCCCACCCCACCCCACCCCACCCCACCCCACCCCACCCCACCCCACCCCACCCCACTCCACCCCCCGTGCCACACGCTTGCCTCGAAGTTCTCCTCCATCTGCCCCAGCTCGCTGCGGAGCTCCTGGACCTGCGGACGCCACAAAACATTATGGTGGGGTCCAGGTGGTTGGTTCCACACTCATCCAGGGGGTAAAGAAACACAGGTTTTCCATGGCTTTTGCACCAAAGGACACAAGGAATGGTAAAAAAGCTGCGGGTGAGGGTAAAGGCTGGAACTAGGACCCCAGCAACAAACAAATGTTCAATTGTGTGCCTGGTTGGTGGAAAACAAAGGGGACCCAAAAAAGCAAAAACACAGAAGAAGGGTACCAATTCTGGGGAAGTCATCCAGGGGGTAAAGAAACACAGGTCGATGGTTTTGCACCAAAGAACACAAGGAATGGTACAAAGCTGGGGTGCCAGGACTTGCCGGTGCGATAGCGAATGAAAAATCGAATGAGCCTGGGGGTCCCCGAATAAGGGAAACCGCCAGTCGGATGGTTTAAATCGGGGTCATTGCATTTCTCATTCGTTTCAGGTGGGTTCCGGGGACTATGCCCAACTTTTGGAGGTCTCCATGAAAGGAATGGAGGAGGAGGCCCGAGTAACCAAGCCTTTGTTTTTGCCATGGACAAACAGCACCTTTCGAGAATAGTCTTAGGGTCATTCATCTGGTTCCAAAACATGCGATGGAAATGAAGCTCTCAGTTTGCAAACTACTGGCTCAACGTGAGTTTGAAAAGCATCCAGGCACCACTAAACATAAACCAAGTTTGGCTTACTTGATAAGCTTTCAGATAAAGCTTGGCTTTAGTCAAGTCAGCAACCCAGGTCTGGAAATAGTCATCTGTGGGTCCCGATCCGCATTGAACACGCTCCTCCCAAAGTCCAGAACATTGGGCAAAGGACAAAGGGAGCCTCCAGGTTGCTGCCCCGGGCTTCCCATTGCAACCTACCTGTTCAGGGGGTCAACAGGCAAAATCAGACGAGCCAAAAATGTCCATGGGTCAGCGCTGCTCCATTTCCTCAGCGTGAGACAACCTTTGACCTGCATCCCGGCCAAAAACTGAGTGAACAAAACCGCCCCCTATTTGCCCAGTGGTCATTCGACATGTTCATTGCATGGGTTGAACTTCGCCCCCTCGCAGTCGCAGGGCCAACCTGGAAGCTCCCATGCCACTGGGTATTCACGAGTGGGAGCTTCCAAGTTCGCTGAGCGTAGGGAGCTACCCCTCAGCGAAAGTCTGGGTTGCTGTAACGCCCCCTCTGCAAAAGGTGAACAACTTTTTGTGGGTGCAATGGAAAGTCCGGCGGTTTTTGCAAAAAGTTAAAGTCCAAAGATCCGTTACCGCCATATAAAGCCATTCTACTTGCGTTAGCGTTAACCTGCCAGAAAGCTACATGGGCAAAATGCAGCTTGTGAGGGCCCAGTGCGTTGCGCCTCGTCCTGGTGCTTCTGCCTCATGAGAGATGGGTATGTGCCAAAATAGGGGCTCGGCGAAGGTTGTGGTTTCCTGTTGATTTCCCTTTGAACTAGCCTGCAAAGTGTTCCCTGAACAAAGGAGCCACCAAGTACGGGTCTGGAAAGTGCCCGCAATCCATCCCCTTTTAAGGTTCCGTTTTGGGGGAAATAAAAGGATCGGCCATCAAGCAGCCAGCCATGATCACGAAACTGAGCTATACAAGGATGGATTTTCCGAGGTTCCTTCATCACGGTGCCCGAGCCCATTGTATCCCCAAACGTGTCGGCTCACCATTCGTACAGACCAAATTGGAAGAACACTAGGCTTCTTTAGGTTTCCAAACTTTGCACATAAGCGAACACCCCGGGTAAGGAAATAGTTCACTGATCTGACATGAGGGCCCTCAACGGAAGCAACCTGCATGGGTGCACGTGAGAAGCCCTTGCAAGGTCGCGGCAATTTGCCGCGCACAGAATCGTGCGTGCTCGCTGCCCCCATAGAAAATTGGATGAAGCCACAAACTTGCCCAGAAGGGTAAAGCATACCTCCCCTTTCAACCACCAACAACAGGTTGCTCCAAGACCCGACTGGCGCAAGGGTAGAACTTTGGTCACAGGGAAACACATGAAACCACGAATAACGAATAAGCTGCATAGCAATCCGGAGGTTGAGTTAAAGCATCGCAACCCACCTCCCACCGTTCAGGGGACGCACACATTCCGTGTCAAAGTCACTCAAATTATGTCAGCCAAATCAGGAAACAAGTAGCGGGTACCAAAAAGCAGTGGAAATGAACGATCACGCACTTGATGAACGCTTGTCATTGCGACTTGTGTGTTCGTCTTCGCCATCATTTTCCTGCTGACGCCTGCTCCTGACGCTCAAAATCCGGCTTCCGCAGAAGCATCACCCGAAGCCTTAACGCAGGGCCTAATACCCCAAAAGATTCACTCAAATTATGATGTGCATGTTGTTTTCGGCAGTATGCTCGGGTTGACTAGGTTTTCGTTGCCGCCTTCGTTTCGTTGATAGCAGGGGGCGCCTCCGATTAGGACCCCTGATTGACGCAACATGACGGAACAATGCCAAAATAGGCCCAGGCGGCACTAATCGGAAAATTGACATCGTGTACATGTCTACATTCGAATAGCGAATTCGAGACGCCGATTCCCAGGCTGCGTCCGGGTTGCTGCCTCTTCTGCCACTGGTCCTTGCAAGCAGCTATCTGGAGATTCTGCCCTCCAACCAAAGTCAAAGATATGCAAAGGGAAGGTGCGCTGTAATTAATAGGTTGCCAAGGCAAACAAACCGCTAATGTGCACAGGATTGGCTCAAAGAATGGGGTGCCTGCTATCAAACAAGCTTACGTTTCAGCTGGCTGGACATCATTTATGGCAAGATTCAGGTCAAACCATTCTTGCGGAGGTTCCTTATCCTAAAGCAACGCCAACACAGCATGTCTAGCTTCCTGAGTCAAAACATGTCTGCCTGCTTGGTTGTGTACATCTCACTTGGGCGTCAAAAGAGAAAACTTAAAGTCCTGAGCCGGGGAAATACGGATAAGCGATCTTCGTGTTGCGCCCCGGCCTTAGCGGCTAATTGCCCTGCAGACTAGGGGTCCATAGCTTCATGCATCGGCTCATGCACTCAGCCCATGTCCAAAAATGATCAGCGAGATGTACCTTGGCGTGAGAGTGACATCCTGACCCTCTACATGGTGGTGTGGAGAGAAGCAGCCCCACAGCTTCACTTTTCAGGCCCCAGACCGACTTGCATGCCATGCCACTAAAAATGGAAGCCCCAAATGAAAGGAGCCCAGTGCCTGGAAAAGTGAGAAGATGCTGAAGCCCCTAGCGTCGAGTCCTGCAGATCTTCCATCTTCTTCTGGTGCTTCACCTGACGACATCCGTGGCTTGGAACTGCTCTGGCTGCGTCCTGTTGGTCTGGGTTCGGATGGCTTCAGATTAGGGGAACTCCACAATCATGGGTTTCCTTTGCCCTTGTGAAGCTAAGAGGGCCAACTCAAAAAGAAGATCAAAACATTCCCTTCATGGAACTCACCGGAAAAGCCCTTATTACGAGAATCAAATCCGACCCGTTTTCAGATTCTGGTCCATACCAGAATTTCTTGGGCCAATGTGATTCCCCATGCTAAAAAGGACACACTTTTCGGACATCATACCGTTTCAAAACGGAGTAATGTTGAACCTGGTTTAATATCGGTAGTCTGAATTATGTCAAGTTTCCCCGGCTTAAACACGACCCCCCCACTGTTTCGGTACCATGATGTATATGTCAAGTTCGAACCCCAAAAAATCCCGTTGAAAAAAATCTGACTCAAAATTCGCAATATGGGCAACTGATTTCTCCTCTCAGCTTCCTGGCTCAGTCCCAGTAGTGAAACTCTGCAAATCTTTGGTTGCTCAACCTGAGACGCTGTGGGCCTCAAAACCTAAAAGCTTAGCAACGGACCAGGCCAAGACCTGAGCCTCTGATTTCCTGATTTGATCCTAAGTCCCAACCATCAAAATTATTTACTTAAATCCATCCAAAAACAAGCCCCAAACAGTCCTGCAAAGGGGGTTGCCCACAAGGGGGCCTGATCCTCTTTAAGGGGCACTGTTTGGGTACCATGTTTAATGTCCAGTCTTAGGGTGGCAACCCCAAAGGAAGTGCTGGCAATACTAAACCAAGTACTGGCAGCCCAACAGGAAGTGCTGGCAATACTAAACTAAGTAGTGGCAATACCAAAGCAATACTCAAGTCACCCAAGCCCCCCGCCAAATCCGTATTCAGGATCCCCAAAACTGCTTTGACTGTTCCAGGGGGGGGCCCACAGTAAACAAGGTGCAACATTATCTGAAGCTCGGGTTTTCCCACTCAAATCGAACAAACTTAACAAAATGCGACACCATTTTCCCTGGGGCTAGCGGAGGTCGTCTCATAAGCGAAAACCAGATAAGACCTCCACCCATTCTTTCAACCACCCACTTCTCGTAGCTTCCCCCCCTCCTCAACCGCCCGTTTCTTGCAGCTTCTCCGACCCAGGCCCCCGGCCCAGGCCCCCGGCGTGGGCCCCCAAGCCCCGGGCTCCTGCGCCCTTGGGGCCCCCGCCCGCAGGTTCTCCGTCTTCTGCAGCACGCGGCTCTCCTCGAACTGGACCCGGGCCAGGTGCTCGTCCGTGAGCCCTGGGAGAACAGGGCTAAGAGAAGATGAGCGCTGATGGATGCGGGGTGGTGGGTGGTGGGTGGTGGGGTGGTGGGTGGGGTGTGGTTTGGGTTTGGTTTGGGATGTTTGGGTTGGTTGGGGTGGGAGAACGCAATGACCACCGGGCCCTTAGGGAGCCAAAGGTACGACCATTTGCCCCTCAGATTCGGGGCGCTGGCTCCGAGGCTGTTGGGGATTCCCCATGGGGGCATAATTGAACGAAAGCTACAAAGAATTGGTGTTGTTAAAAGGGAAGAAGGCGCATGGAACGTGCTTGTCTCGAAGGGAGCCACAACTGGAGAAAGTGGTCTTACAGGAAACCGCGACTCAAAGACTCAAAGATAAAGCGATGCCACCATAGATACAAACGATCCGGTATCCCTTAATTTGTGGTTTCGATAATTGGTGGTTTGGGTCTGGGGATGGGAAACTTTGGTTTTGGGTGGTTAAACAGGAAGCCACCCCTGGAACACCTCCCAACCACCAAGCTTCAAACCATCAACTACATGGGGAGCTGGATCCAGAGGTTTGGTATGGTTTGGTGCGGCCAAGGTGCGCTTGAGTTGTAGGATCACCTTGGCGCCCTCTGCCTCCTGGACGCAGGAGGCTGCGCCGAAAAGACTCATCCTCTCTCCATGGCTCTTATTGCCGCAGCAGCTGTAGGGCTGCCTTGATGGTCCACTACCTATAGCCTCTATATGTATATATACACATATGTCATCATACAAATGCAATTTGGGTGATCAAAGAAGCAGGAAAGCATATAAACATACAAACATACTCATTCTAGTAAAGCAGATCAAATGACCCAGTAATTATCGGTAACCACCAACATTTGAAAGGTATGCTTCCTCGGACCCACCCAGAAAAAAACCGCCAGGTCCTACAAAAAATGGAACCTGCCATGAACTTCCAGTCAGGTTCCATTTTGGGCAGCCTGCAACAAACCAAACGGTACCACATAACTGAAGGCCAACCCGAACAGACCATATGTTTGAGTCTGGCCCATGTCTAGTGAATCATTCTGCTAAAACACATGCCAACCAAAAGCGCAAGCCAAGCAAACACCCACACACAACCAGATCTAGGTCCTTGAGTAGAGAGGTTAGAATAAGGGCAAAAGAAAGGGGAGAGAAGGGCACTGGGGGACCTAGACAATCATTTTCCTGCCAAAACACCAAACCGAACCCCAAACGTTTTGACCTTGGACCAAGGGCTTCAGCCACCCAGTCCTGCAGCGCCTTGGCGTGGCGCCGGGCGGCGTCTCGAGGCGGCACCTGCGTCGACGTCCGCGACGAAACGAAACCCTGGGTGAAGCCATGGTTGGTTTGGGCAAGAGGGGAACTAGGCGATTCAAGTCCCTTTGTAGATAAAAGAAATGTGTATATATATATATGCACGTATATATATATATATGTGTTAATATATATGTAGATACATCTATATATATATATATCTACACATACACACACATATATATTTATATGTAATAGATATATTCTTCTGGAAGTTGTTGAAGCTGAATGCCTAGGATCTAGGATTGACCCCCCCACGCCCAAGTGGCTCAATGGACCTCCAAGGCCTGGGGCTGGAGAAACCAAGCTGGTGATAGCCCCGTTTCGAGGTCCATGGGTCGATCGTCACCTCGTCTTCATCTGCAACATGGCAGGTATTTTTGTTCCTGACCTCCAACTATTAAGACAAGCAAAACAAGATGTTGGCCGTCCTTGCGTGTCAAGCCCGGGATGTGTGCCTGGGCTTCAAGGCCAACGCGAAACCCCAACTCGGTCACTTTCAGGCTTTATGGAGGCGTGTGTGATTGTGCTCGCTTTTCTGGGAGTGCCCGCAAGACACCGTCAACGTTCAACCCAAAGCCAAACAAGGATTGAGCTCAAAGCACGGGTCGCCTCCACCAGTTTCACGCCTTAAGCCTGGTTAACGTGCAACCCTTAACCTAAGAGTTAAATCTTTTGCACCAGTGACAGGTTCGGATAGGCCCCTCCGTTGGGGTACAAGGTACAGGGTTTCACTGCAAGGCATGCCTGTTCTACTCGTTCCCTCGGGCAAATGAAACAAGGGACACACCATGCCAGCGTGGAAACCCTCTTTTCTGGACGGCCCCTTGATTCGCAAAAACGGAACCTCTCTCATTATGGGCTTGCCTTTTTTTGTTGAGGGTGCCCAAAGCGCGCAGTGGTTTTGAAGGGAAGCAGAGGAAGCCACTTGTTGGGTCTATGTTAAGACACACCCAACCTCAAAGTTTACATCTAGCCAACCTCAAGTCTTGCACCAAATGTTCTACTCAGCCCCTTTCTCGGGCTCCTGACCACTTACACCATCGGAAAACCAACGAGGCGGGGGGCGGACACTCATGGCCAGTTTTTAGCATGGGCTGCTTCTGATATACGTGGTGTATCCCCCACTCCTGAAAATGCCCATGAAAGAGAAATCAACAACTTTCAAAGCGTCGATTGCCGTTGAATGTACGAGGCGGCCTGTGTTTCCTACGGTTTCCGAGGCGAATTAGACCCCCCTGCAAAAAGTTACATTTTTGACTAGTTGGATGAAAAGCCAAACATCACCCTCCAGACTCCCCTGCCCCGTCCAAAATGCCGTCCGCACTACGTGCAGTCACCCTAATTAATGTTGACCCCGGATTGATAAACCCCTGTTTATTAATATGGGCCATGGGGGTGTCCCCGGCTTTAGTGGGCATTTATCACTCTTGGAGGGGAACACCCCATATTAATAACAGGTTGGTTTGTTAATCCGGGGTCAACATTATGGCAATGTTTTGTTTTTCGGGCTTATCGGTTGTACGCGAAAACTCGCTGCCTGAAAGAAGGTGGTCACTGTGTTGCGGGCGTCCAGGCGCCGGCCCTCGGAGAAACGTCCGACGAGAGAACCCGGGGTGCTGTGGGAAGAGTGAAAGCCCAGATTTGGGTGTTTGAGGGTTCGGCGGTTTTAAAGGGGTGTGTCAATTTGTTTGGGGGTTCCCCTGGTTTAAAAGGGGAACCTAAAGGAAAACCATCATGTTGGGAGTCCCCTAAAAAAGAGACACACCCATTAGACATGTTCAAACGTCCCTTGCTCAAAACCGGCCTCAGGGGCTGGCTGTTCAAACCATGTTTGCCCAGCCGTGACTGTGGGCTCACTTGAAACAGACCTGGAAAGAACCGCCGATCGTCTTTCCGGAACCTGCAAAGCGGGCCACAAAGAGCAAACAACACACAACATGGATGTCTCGAGATGGAGACGCACCCAAAATGGATGGTGTTTGTATTGATTTCCCTTTAACCCATAACAGGTGCCCTCAAAAAGAAGATACCCCCAAATGGTCAAAACCGCTGATTTCTGTCCCCTTACTTACAGCAAAGGAAAGACATTCCCATGCCACCTGCGCCAGGATCTCGTCGCGAATCTCCTGTGCGGTGAACTCTTGTGCCATGGGACCTGCAATCTGAGAATCCTAGCTTCAGCTGTTTGGTTCAATATGGGCCACCCCCCATGAATCAACCAAAAGTTCATTCATCAAGGGCTCCCGTTACCAACCTGGGTTGTTCAAAATGCGCGCGCGGGATCCAGCCCCCTAGACACCATGATGGGACACCGCTACAAGAAGGGACACCGCACAATCCGTCACAAGGATCAAGGACTGATTTTAAACAGCCCGGTGAGTTCTTCTGCTTGGTGTTGCCTTTTTCTCTTCCTTGGTGCGTGTGCGGCACGTCTAAAAAAGCAGATCCGGCAAGTTTTGGACATGCGCGGGCGAAAACAAGGCTGCAACGACGGCTCGCACATACCCTCTGCCTTAACAAGAACAGAAGTGGCCGGTTGGCCAGCCTGATTTGACCAGTCTTTACCACAACGAGTACAGATAATCGATACACCTCCCCCAATTTCGTTTTTAGAGGGTAGGGGTAGGTTAGACGTGAAACAACTAGGGTTAGGCCAGCCCTCCAACACATGTTTATCATGTTCAAACGCGAATCGCTTACTCAATTAACCTCCTTTGGGTTTCCTGTTCAACGGCGGCCAGGGCCCGGTTGTTCCAAGATGTCCCCAACCCTGAAACTCTCTCGCGACTTTGGCTTGTATAAGGGTTGTTATTCTGAAACTTGTGCAAAGGACATAGTTCAAATGTCAGCAAAATTGAACATGTTTTTCATGTGGAAGGATCCTTTTTCTCAAGATTTTCTCAAGTAGCCATATAATGCCAGTTTCAGGGAGTCAGGCTTGAGAAATCCACAATCTGAAACAGGGATCCCCCTGTAAAGGACCTATAGTACAGTGAGCTCCTGTTTCCCCCAGAGCGCGCCATTCGTCCTGTGTCTCGCGCTCGCGCTCCTGACAATGCTCGCTCTTGGACAGGCGATGTTTTTTCTTCCGCCCGGCCACAAAAAAAGCTAGTCTTGGAGATTACCCAGAAAGGGCAACGAGACTAGTTGTGTACCACGTAAACAGGTCTTCCGAAAATAGGAAAGCGAATTAAGAATGCATCCACCAACCAGCTGCTTTACGAGGGAACCTCTAAGGCAGCTGGTAAAGGCGCTTTGCTTGACCTGCCCAAATTCTTGTTCGCGGTCCTTTCCCATGCAGCTGGAAATGACAGTGCAAGCTTTGACCTTGAATGACCTTGGCAAGACATGGGCCAACTCGGAAACCAACAAGACAAGCGCGTAAAATCGCTTCAAGGGTCACTTTTGTTCTTACTCCTGGCATCCGGCTCTGTGACTGGCCACGCATCGTATGATTCTCTCCACCACAAACAAACATCTCTGCGAGCAGTGAAAAAACGTAGGGTGCGGCACCCAACAAGCACGTATATAATGATTCACGAACTGGAAATAAGGGATGCACACGGCTCTCAATACGAAGAGGCTCATCGACAAAGCACATGGAATCGCTCGCTGTTGCCCCCTATTCGGTGTGGGGGTTGTGCTTTTGACGCCTTCAGGCACAGGCCAGACCTAGCTTCAAGAGAAATGGCATTCTTAGGGGGCAAGGGGTAGTTGCCCTCCTGGCCTACATGGAACTTGACAAGGCGGTTGAAGACAAACTTGGCTTCCCAGCACTCCCATAGGTATGTTAGTAGGAGGTGGGCTCTCAAACAAGCAGCCCCGGTTTGGAGAGTTCATAAGGAAGTGTCCTGAGTCACACGTCCATACATCGGAGCTTGCCAAATATCCGGACGCTTTCAGGGAAGCTCACCCAAATGAAACTCCTTGAGAAACGCCAAGAGGCTTCCTAATTTCGCCTGCAGAGGAATCTAAGCGCTGAAAAGAGGAGGCACCCTCGTCAGCAATTGGTCCTTCATTAGGGGGTGAGCAGTATCTGTTGACCAAGCTTCTTTTCCAACAGCTCCCCCACATATTGCGTTGGATGATTTCCCATTCTCGTCATCCACCGAGACCTGTTTTGAAGCCCAATAACTTGCCCCGGATGTTGTTGCCATGGCTGGCGAGCTGGGCCTTGGGAAGACATCAGGAAGATGTATTAGCGGGAACCTCCCCTTGCGGCCTTTTCCTTGGAGATGTCCGGTACTTGGATGTTCAACCTGCTTGTAAGTAGGCTAGAGAGTTCTAACGCGAAGCGGGCTATTTGAAGCCTTCTGTCACCTTCCGTGTACGCATGAAGGGTAAGTAATTGGGCGAGAGTCAAGCCTGCAAAAATTAACCTTCTACTGGCTGAAAGTAAACGCGAGGAAGCAATATGGCAAATAGTTAAAATCGGCTTTCTAGCAATCGAAAACGGGGTTGAACAGTCCAAGTGTTACAAGGGCTTAAACAATGAGAACGGGGTTGTTGAGAACTCCAATGGCAAAATGATAAATCATGATCATGAAATATGTAGGAAGAAGACAAAAACATCATCCTCAAACATGCTTTGGCAATATTCTAAGTCATGGTCTCCAAGGCTACCCTCAACAACCGTGGCACAGATGTCACACCAATGACAGGCGCACCTCACATTCCGCCACCAGCAGCTTCTCTAAGTCAGCCTCTTTGTCCAGCTGCGCCTGCTCAAAGGATTGATTCAATTCAAGCTGTCTGAAACATCCGGCTTGATTCCCTTTGAACATGACTTCAGCGAAGGAACTTGTCAAGTAGACCGACATCGAAATGACCTCCTCAAGGTTTAATGCCCTTTGAACAACGTCCAGCGATTTTGTTTATGAGTTTAACATCCAATAAAAAGGGGTTTCCCTTGGCTATCCCGGCGACCTGAGGGATTGTGGCTCATCCTTCCTTGGGCACGACATCCAGTTGGATTGCCTTTGAAGCTCTAAAGCAACATCTATTTGATGTTTCTTTGTAGTACTGTAGGGGGCTAGGGATGGCTAGGGTCAACTTTTCAATCAATCCTGGATCAAACCGCGAGACGGAACCAACCTCAGACCCACCTCAGACCCCGACGGAATCGGGACGATGTGTACATTCGGTGCCCCCTCTCATAGGCTGAGTGCGTACGTCTATGAACCCCCTGGTGTGAACTCCAAGTTTATTGGAAAAGTTAAGGTCAATTGTTGATTAATGGGAAGTCCACCCCCCCCCCCCCGCCCCGAAAGTCCCACATGGCCATGCGTTCATATCTCATGTCTCCGGGGAGAGCCCTCGTCAGACTAGCCGGCTTTCTTGGAAGTGGCACTCAGAATGGGACGCTCCAAGGAACCAGCTGGAGGTTCACATCCAATGGGAGAAGCTACCGGAGAAGATCGAAGAGAGAAGAGAGTGAAGTTAAGGGATGGCAGTGACAGGCGATGCAGATACAACCAAAGAAAAAATCAACATCAAGTCATTTGAACAGAAACAAAACGATAACGGCGAGAAGACTCATTCCAAGCGTCCTGCATCCTAATCCCAGAGACTCACCTATAGACGCAGCATATGGTTCAGGATGTTCTCCGGTAGAAACATCTTGACTAGAACTATGAATCATATGATGGGTGAAGAGCTGAGTGATACAGTGAAAGGAAGGGAAATGGACATAATGGACGTGGCCGCTGGAGGGACAAAACTCCAAGAGATACAAAAATGAAAAGAAAGATGGGACAACACGTCAAAACATTAAAAAGCTTAGATTTTAACCCCTAACCTCTATGCCCCGTAACCTTCCCCATGCCCCAGTGTCCCAAATATTATCATCCTCAATTCCCCCTTAAGAGCATCCTTAGAGGCGCCTCAAAAAACCCTGCCTTCCCCAACGCAAGCGAAAAAGGCATGTGTCATGGAAGTTTGCAGTCACATCTATTGTTCCAAAACAGCATTTAAGGAGAGGAATCGTCCAGCATGCTGCCATGTTCATCCCTTTTTCCAGCTTCAGTCGGTGGCAGGCGCAGGGTCCATCATTGCTCTTTTTGAAAGAAATAAACAGCAGTTGGCTATGGCCACTGCAAGGGGATTTAGGGCCAACAGCTCATCCGATGGTGGCCCGAAGCAACTCCCAAAGCTTGTTGACAGGGGGTGGGCTTCATTTAAGTAGGGGATTGTCTCCAAACGAAATTTTGGTGGTTCCTCTTTGGTTTCCCTTTAACACCATCCAAAGGGTACTGCCCCGGAGAACAACCGCTCACATTTCTCATGCGGTTGGAAGGCCTGGGGCCGAGCTGTCCCAAATGTTCCGATCGGAGCTGTGGAATCATATAGCTGCGCAATCACCCATATATTGAGCTTCTCATCCTGGCGTCATTTGGTGTCAAACCATCCTGGCTTTCCCTCTTCTGATGCGCTTGCAGAACACCTGAGGGTAGCTACGAAAGGCTCTCTCTCTTCCCTCCGTTTGCTTAAGCCTCCAGACGTCATTGGGGAGCTATGTTCACCAACCACTTTTCAGGTTGGTTCCCCATTAAAAGTCATAGCCATGTCAACATAATTTGACTAACTCCGCCACGGCCCAACGACCAGCGAAGCGCCTGGTGCCGCTCGATGGCCCTGGAGTTCTGTCGCGTCACCTCCTGCAACCTGACGCGCGCGGCCAAGGCGCGCGCGTTCGTGGGCGTGGCTGGAAAAAGAAGAGCCACGCCTCCCAAAAGCCAGAAGGCAACTAGATGGTAGGAAGATCATAAAGACTTCTTAGGAGCTCTGGTGCCAGATTTCTCTTTGGAGCTCTGGTGCCATGGGTTTTTAGCGGGAGCCATATGGGTTTGTATTTTTTTAGGGTGGCCGGGCAGGAAGGTTTGAGTACGGGGTATGATTCGCAGGTATGATTCGCGGGTATGATTCGGGGTATGATTCGGGGGTATGATTCGCGGAAGCAGCAGCAGCAGTAGTAGTAGCAGTAGTCGCCGAAGTAGTAGTAGTAGTAGTAGTAGTAGTAGTAGTAGTAGTAGTAACAGTAGTAGTAGTAGTAGTAGTAGTAGTAGTAGTAGTAGTAGTAGTAGTAGTAGTAGTAGTAGTTAGTAGTAGTAGTAGTAGTAGTTGTTGTTGTTGTTGTTGTAGTAGTAGCAGTAGTAGGAGTAGTAGTAAATAGTAGTAGCAGTAGTCCTAGTAGTAGTAGTAGTAGTAGTAGTAGTAGTACTAATAGTAGTAGTAGTAGTAGTAGTAGTAGTAGTAGTGCTAGTAGTAGTAGTAGTAGTAGTAGTAGTAGTAGTAGTAGTAGTAACAGTAGAAGCAGCGACTGTCGTATCGCAGAGGCTTTGAAAAGACTTGGCGCTGGCCTTGGCAAGGCAAGTCCATTGCGCGGGTATGATTCGGGTATGATTCGCGGGTATGATTCGGCTAGGTGCAACACGGCCGCTGTGAAAAAGACTTAGCACTAGCCTTGGCAGGGGAAGCTCATTGTCCGGGTATGATTCGGGTATGATTCGCGGGTATGATTCGGCTAGGTGCAAAAAGGCACTGATTACAGACTCAGAATGATGTATGTGGTAGTAGTGAGTAGTAGCAGCAGCAGCAGAAGCAGGAATAGTAGTAGTAGAAGTAGTAGTAGTAGTAGTAGTAGTAGTAGTAATAAAGGTAGTAGTCGTAGTAGTAGTAGTAATAAAGGTAGTAGTCGTAGTAGTAGTAGTAGTAGTAAAGGTTGTAGTCGTAGTAGTTACTAGTAAGGGTAGCAGAAGCAGAAGTAGAAGCAGTAGAGTAGTAGTAGCAGCGGTAGTAGTGGTGTTAGTGGTAGTAATACTCGTAGTGCGGTAGTAGCAATAGTAGGAGTAGTAGTGGTAGTAGCAGTAGTAGTAGTAATTGGAGTAGTAGTAGTAGTAGTAGTAGTAGTAGTAGTAGTAGCAGTAGTAGTAGTAGTGGCAGTAGTGGCAGTGGTAGTGGTACTATTGGGTAGCGCTGGTGGTGGTTGTTGTGGAGACAGTGAACAACACAAAACGGTAGAAGAACAGTAGCATCTTGCAGCATACGTTTTAAGGGGTATGATTCGGGGGTATGATTCGGGGGTATGATTCGGGGGTATGATTCGGGGGGTATGATTCGGGGAGGTCCCACCTTCTGCCTTTTGAAGCAACTCAACACACCAAAAAAGGACAAACCCATATGTATGCGTGGCATTCGGTCCAAAGTGCCAAGAGTTGTGACTGAAACTGCTCTTCACTCACACATGTTTGGCTGAAAAAAACCATTACTTCATTGTTCAAGTTTCAACCCGATGCAGATCAGAAGAGTGTTTATGTTATTTGCTATCTCGTAGAACGCGCGCGACAACCATGGTCATAACCGAGGGGGCTTACAGTGCAACTCGGGTTATGACGGAACCCCCACTGATACATAGCCCACCAAAAACCACTGGCAGTCAGTGGCAACAATGTCCAACTAACGCGCCTTGAACCAAGCGTGCACGGGTCAGAGGCTTTTCATGGCTTTTCAATCAATCCAAGAGTGTTTGCATTCGGGGTTGAGCCTAGGGATCATGGCACCACAAATTAACGTGCTATCAGGGAACAGCTTAGGCTGGGATGGCCGGCTGGGATTGCCGCAAAGGGCATCTTGGGCTGATTCTCCATTTTCCACAATCTTCGTTTCAAAAACGAAACCATCCCTGCAAACAGCCAGTTGCAGGATTTCTTTGTTGTATGCCCATTAAACACTACCTACCACAAAAAAAAAACAAAAAACACTTACGCAAGGAGGTTGCTCCATGAACCTAAGGGTGGTGAGAGGAGGCGAACCTAGATTTTTGTCCTTGGGGTTTGATCGTCTTGCCAAGCCGGCTCCGGGCGCTGGGCTTCTCTTCAAGTTCACCAACGAAACAAAAGGTGATTTATCTAGGTCCTCCAGTAGGGAGGTTAGAATGAGGGTACCCTTTTTTCTGTAGTCTATTTTAGTAGGGGAACCCCTAGTTATTAATTTGAACAGAAGGGAAGCAAACCTAACGCTCGGTTGGAAAATGGTCTCACCGCACGTGGATTCAAATTGCGTTTGAACGTGGAACCAAGCCGCCAGGGTTTCAATTAACAGGGAAGCACGTGCAAAATGGCAACGCTCAAAGTGGAACCCGCGTAGAACCCGCATGGACCCTACACTGTTGCAGGAATCTTGGATGTTCCTCCAGCTTAAAGGTTAGCTGCAAACAGGGGTTGGCTTGGTGTTTAATGGCAACTCACAACCAAAAAACATGGAGCCTGGATGGGGGGGGGCCCTGGAACACACTTGTAAATTCACGTTCGGAATTAGGATGGTCGACTACTGAGGGATCTGAAATCTAAACATGTGTTTTCCCATTCCTCCAAGTTCAGTCGGCCTCCATCTTACTCTTGCACCGCGCAACGTAGACCCCGAATTTTACACCTGCTTCCTCGTTAACCACAGCATTGCCCGCCAATACTCTCTCAGCACTGTCTGCGGCATGCATGAAGTGGAAGTCCCACAGACCCCCCGGTATTTCCCCAGGAAACGGCCACCAAATTGGCCGGCCTCCCGATGAACGAAGGCTCAAGCCTTGATTTGTTTTTATTCCACAATGACTGCGCCCAAAAAGGTGGCTTGAGGCTTTCGCGTTGACATTTCCACGAAAAATGTGAAAACAAACAGGAACCTCAACGTAGTGGGGGGGAGGGTTCGGTTCCCTTCCAGCCACAAAATGAGGGAAGACAAGGTTGCTAAACGGCAAGGGGAGATGGTTGAAATCCCCCATACCCCAATTCCTGAGTGTGGCAGCCAGAACCGAGAGATTCAATTGCTCGAATTCCCTGCTCCCTTGATACAAGATTCCCTTTTCCAAGGCCCGATGGATTGCCAGGCGGTTCAGAAGGCCCGGAGCGCTTGCGTGAGCCGCGATGACTGAAGCTCACGGGGCGGCTTCTCCATCCACAGCCCAGGTCTCCTTTGGCTTGTACTGGAAGCTCGGTCATCGCATCCCAGGAAAAGTCCATCTGAAAGTCGAAATCCTGCCCTGCCTTCCTGAGAGCATCGCGCAGACGAAGCTTCTGGCTTCCCACTAAATATCGATATGCTCTTGCCAAAGCCATACATATATATATATATATATAGTAATTTATATCACCCTAAAATATTCCGTTAATCGAATTCCTAGTTGTGGCCCGACGGCCCCAGGGCCTCTGCAGAAGCTCGATCCGCTCCGCCCGCTGCCTTAGCAGATTGGCCTCGCAAGACCAGCCAAGACATCCGCGTGCATAGCGTTGTTGTGTTGTTTTGTTTGGCTGGCACCAAAAAACCCGGTATTGAAATGGTCGACCCAGAACCAGGTCAAGAATTAAGAAGGCAGCCGCAGCTATTTGCGGTTGGAAGTATCCCTTGCCCAAGAGAGGCAAAGGGCGAAAGGTTAGTAAAGTCTGGCAATGAACAGGGGTTGCCTCTTATGGTCCATTCCTCCTTGTGAGAATTGCTGCGCGGTGCGCTATCCCAATCGCACCGTTCAGGAACTCAGGGATAATAAGCCTGAAGCCACGACGCAAGATGTGAGTGACGTGATGGTTCCCTTTCAGGATGGAAGTCACTTTGCCCAATATCAAGCCACTCCAAAAGGCCATGAGGTGCTTGCAATCGAAGGCAACTTTGGTAAAGGGCACCGCATATGACCCATCAACGAGCTCGAGTTTTTCCAATTGGCCTTTCCCAATATTGGCGAGTCTATTGTTGCAGGTAGCCTTTTTGTCGGTTGCTTTAAAGAGAAACCGAAGGGAAAACCGCCATTTTGAGGGTCCCCTATTTTCAGGCACACTCATGTCCACATATATGGTTCCTCTGTCCAACCAAAGCTTACAATGGTCACCTAGCCATTCCACCCTGACAACACGTCTGGCCTTTGTTGGCCTTTGTTGGCCTTTGTTAGGCTTCTTGGGCATTGAGGCGTTGTTAAGCCTCCACTCATGAGGATGCTCCCCCAACTGCTACACTAAAATTCCTAACCACTTAGCTATTCCCCGCTCCATATCTCTTGCCCCGTGCACCCTCAGCTCCCCCCCTGCCCGGCCCAACCAAAAATCCTACATTCTATTCTGGCAACTACATTTATTTCGTGAACCCGAAGACTCAAAACTCCTTTCAAACAGATCCAAGCCGTCCATTCAATCCACCCCCCACCCTCTCACCCCCTCCCCACCCCGCCTCCGCCACGTCCCGCGCCCTCTGTGCCTCAGACCTCAGCTGCATCGCCTCCGCCAAGGTCTCCGGGTCCTCCGCCTCCACGCGCCTTGGAAGTGCCACGACGCGACAGGCGCGACGCGAGGAGCGGCCAGCGCAAGGAGCGAGGGGCCACCGCAGGGAAGCGAAAAAGGCAAGCGCAAAGCGCAAAGCGCGTGGAGGGATTCTTCACCCAAAAGTTGTCCAAGGTCTGTTGGATCTCTTCTTTTAAGAAAATCTAGTAGAAACCTGTTAGTGCTCGTGTAATATCCTGCAGGAATGGATCACGCAAAAGCCACATCCAAACCGGTTTCTAGACCTTGTGGCCAAAGGAAACCAAAGGAAGCCAAAGGAGAACAAAGGAAGCCAGTCATTTTCGGGTGCTACATTCTGAGACAAACCTGGCCGGGGGGGGGGGGGGGAGATGGCTGTTTCTGTGTGCGTGTGTCTGTTTGTGAGGAGATACCCGTTTGTGGTTTTAGTGGCAACCCAAAGGAAAAACAACGATTGTGAGGGTTCCACAATATATTGTGAGATGTTGCTGATTTGGCCTGTTTCACCTTCTCCTGTTTTTTCTAGCGGTTGCGGATTCAAAGCCACCAAGCCAACCCAGAAAGGAGTTCCAATTCCGAAAAGGACACGCCTGCCCCCCATTTGTTTCATTGCCTGTGAGCAGCTCAGTCCTTGATAAATCCGGATGTAAAGGCCAAACCCAGGAGCAACCGATGAGGTTCCTGCCGTTTGACGGAGGCTCGCTAAACATGGCAACCCGAAGGCCATGCTTTAACCAAGAGGGACAATATTTTATGGGCCCTTGATCAAGGATGGGCCAATCTTGCTGGTGCAGCTGAAATGAGGGAATGCCACCGACAAACAATCCCTTGTGGTTTCTGTTGAGGGAATCCCCAGGTTCATTCCCGACATCCCATCCCCTTCTGAGCACCAGCAAGATATTCAGTTTGCCACATACGCCGCTATCAAAGGCGGGAATGCAAGGGCCCACCCACAGCCATAAATCAGAAGGCCGACCGCACCGAAGTGGTTGGGACCGACCCCTGCCTTTCATCCATCCGGATGTTCATTGCGTCCAGGCAGTACCGAGCAAGGCAAACTTAGGTGCGAAGATGCGGGAACCCTTAACAGCGGGCTGCTTCCTTTTGAGTTTCCCTTGAAAACCATCCCAACAGGAACCCCTAAAAAACAAAATCCATCCCCTTTCGGCTTTTCAGACTTGGGAAAGGACTCCCCAGCGCAGCGGCAAAACCATCCCAACCGAATGCAGGAACCCCTCAAGAAGACCCCCCAATCCATCCCCATCCGATTTTCGGGCGCGGGCCACTCAGAGTCCACCTCCAGACAGAGGGCCTGCTGCAAGCTCTCCTGACATCCCAAAACCCCCAGCCGAAAAGAACACGAGCCGGGCTCACATTCACCCCGGCTGGAAACCAAAAGGTGAAGGGCCTGCAAAGATTAAAGCTGACCTCAGTTGACTCAAAAGTGTTTGAAGTTCTCGGGCCTGGATTAAATTCTAAGCTTGGACCCCTTTCATTTGCTGCAGCCCGGCTGCAGCCCCGTGGAAAAAGACAAGTATGTCCAGTGGTGATAGATCCCCTTTATAACCAACAAGGGAAAATACAACAGTATTCTTTGGCAAATGCTTGACACTGAATCAACAGGTACGACTTGTGTGGATCCAGCCACCACGGAAGAGCTGGTGGTAAATCCAGGGGTTCGGATCCGAATCGGCTGGGCAATGCGACATTCATAGCCAGAATGTGTCCTTTGCTACACTGAAGCCCGAACACAGCGAACGACGGTCCAGAGGCCTCTAGCCACAGAACCGGAATGTGCATGAGGGGCCGCAAATCAGCCGTCAAAAGGGGGCTGATTTAGTTTTCCGTTCTATTGCCCCCGGAGTACGCAAGAGCCGGTAGATTGATATGGATATCAGGGTTCACAAAAAATGAGTCGTGTGGTGAAGTGGACCACCCGCTCTCCGAGAGATTTTCAGTCTGAGGGTTCCCTTCCTGGCGCCAAAGATCCTAAGGGTCCCCCACCCCCAAAAGAAATCAAATGCACATGGGTATGTTTTTCTTTACTTGAGGGTACCCCATCTTGCTTGTTTTAAACGGAAACCAAAGGAAACCAACAATTTCGGGCGCGCAAACTCTTTTGCAGGAGGCCTCCGATTGCCCGAGCCCATCACCCACATCCAGAAATATCTCCTGCGCCCGCTCCAGCTCCGACCTGGAGCTTGCGGCTTGTGGCGCGGGGAATTCGGGCATGTGCTGGCTTTCATGTTGACCCCGGATTGATGAACCCCTGTTTGTTACAATGGGGGGTGGGGGGGGGCTCTGCAAAAGTGATACATCCCCACCAAAGCCAGGGACACCCCCCATATTAATAAACATGGATTATTCAATCTGGGGTCGACATTACTTTGTTTCCGCATCTTTTTGTTGGGTTCAAACCTGTTGGTGGCTTGGGCGGTTTAAACCTTGTGGGTGGTTCAAAGGGGGCCACCATCAGAAATTCAGAAAACCTCGCAGGCAAGGCGAAAAGGGAACGATTGCCTTCAGGGCAAACCTCCTGCCACATGCTTCGGGATCACTTTGGCACACCGCCTTTAGAGGATAACCATCATCCAACAAGGTCGCCACATGCACGTCTGGGCGAAAGCGCCGGCCAGCCAAAGGAATCAGATCCATAAAGGAAGGCCTAGAGATCCACGAGAGTCGGTGTCCTTTTGGAGTCACAGATGGGCTTCCTAGTGAATGGGGCATAAACCAATCTAAACTAGTGGAGCTCATCTCTTTCTAACCAAAACCGATCAAAAGGACACCTATGTCCAAGCGCCTTCGGTTAGGAGCAGGCAGAGAGCCGCCTCGCTGTCTCGAAGCTGTCCCCGGCGTGCGCGAAGACGGTTCCCAGCGTGCTGGCCTCGTTTCGAATCCCAGACTGGGAGGCTCCGGATGAGGGGCCAAGCGCGCAAAGTTGGAGATTTTCCCTATGCCAGCTCGATCGGGGATGAACTGGAACCCCTATGATCTGAATTATGCAACTTGAGGTTTGATTGAAAGGAATGCAATACGATTCATTCCAATTTACTAGAGGAAACCAGCAAGTTGTAATAAGTTGTGGGTCCATGTCGGACTTGGTAAGGGCTGGGTTTTGGGATATGGACCAAGCTGTTCGTGGCTTTTGGATGTCTACGATTGAAAGCTTTCAAGGAACCCCACAAAGGGGGTGGTTCACGCTGGATGGAATCTCACTTCAAGAAAACCAGGCACCTTGCCCCCCCGCCCCTCCCCGCACAGGAGTCACTGGAGTTCCCCAAGTCAAAAGTTGCAGTTTACTACAATAAAAGGACATGGAGTGATCGCTGAAACACCCAAAACCAAGCTGGGCAGCCTCAAAGCACTGTGTGAATTTGCACCTCGGGCCCTCTGGATCCTTGAGTCACCCCTACTCGCTTCCTGAGTGCCTGGACCCAACAAAAAGAAGGCCAGGCCCCCAACCGGAAAATAAACCACCAAAATTGCAACCAACCCAAAAGTTGAAGTCTTTCAACTACCACCAAAAATTGCAACCAACCCAAAAACCAAAGTCCGGGTCAAACCGACGGAACGCAACACGCAGCCCAGGGGAAGTCCGGGTAGCCCCCCGAGTCCCGAGGCCCCGGGCGCCAGCGGAGACCTGCGCCTCAAGGGCCGAGAGCTCCCGGTGGAGCGCCTGGAACCGGAGAAAAAAAAACAGCCCAAGTGGGAGGGACCCCAATTTTTTTTGCACCCCATTTTGAACCCGAGGGGATGTTGACTGACTTTGGCATCATGGACATCCAGCAAAAGTCAGTATGTTTCACCATGTGGGTGTGGCTCAAAATTCAACGATCGGAGGGGCAAACCGCAGAGTTTGGTCCGTGTCTCCACTAACCAGGGCAAGCCATTTTGGCACCGGTGAGAGAAAGCCGGAAAGATGGAAACAAAACCGCAGGTCCAGGAGGAACCCCAAAGCTCCAAGAACATCCAATTCTAAAGGCTCCAGTAGGTTTCTACCTGTCACTTGAATGTCAACCTTTCGACCTGAAGAGGTTTTGCGCAAAAAAGTATGGACCTTATAAGAACATTCCAGGCCGCGCAAGAAGGCCCTATAAGGCCTGGACAATTTTAGTGGAAGGTGTTGGACCTCAAAATATGCCTTTTTGAGGGCCCAAGATGCTGACTGGAACCAACTTGATGCTAGGGAATCACATTTCAAGCGAATTATTTGATGTACCCTTGTAACGGTCAGAGGATTTTGGAAGACAGTCGTCTTGAACAGGCCTCCATTTCCGTGAATACCCCAACCTGTTCCCTACCCCACCTGTTTGCCAACCCAGCATTGCCTCCTTGCAAGCCATCAAAATCTCTGGTCTTTCTTTGGCTTTGCTTTTCAAGAAGGCCAATTAATTACCAGACCTACTACGGCTCTCTTCATCAACACCCCGGAGTCGCCCCAAAGTTCCCTACAATGTAGCACCACCTAAATGGCAAATGGGGGTTAGGCGCTACACAATGCGGACCTTTGGCACACGAAAGTTCGCTGTTGAAGCCACAACCAAGGGCAAATCCGGCCGATTCACTCTACCCATAGCCACCCTGCTGGAGCTTTCCCCTTGACTCAGAAACGAGCTGCACACACATGCTATGTAACTCAAAACGGCCTTCTGGTTGACTATAGCATTCACTTTGCTGGGGTCTTCGTGGTTCAAACAACCCCAGAAACACCTGGCTTTGGGCCTACTGGGTTTGAACCAGTTTTCCCACCGGCGATTCCGTGTTCCATTTTTGTCTGGGCGCGGCGGGTGAAACTCGACTTGGCCCTTCCAAGGGCAAACCACGATCCGCGAGCGAAACGTTTCGAGGCACCGGCGAGCCTTTCCCGGAGTCGGTTTGCACGAGTTTTGGTTCACTTGCGTGCGAGAGGAATAAAGATGTTCAAGCACGCCTCTCGAGGGTCTCACCAACAGGAGGTTGTCTAAAACGGTAGTTCATTGGTAACTTCATTGAACATTGTTCAAGCAAGTCTTTGGTCCAACCCCACAGTTGAGGTTGGTTACACTGCAAGTTGATTCCACAATCATTTGCAAGGGACCGTGAAACACAGTGCTTAGTTGACGTTGGAAGGAGGGCAAAACATTCAATTTTAGCAGTTAAGTGGGGATTCCCCACTAAACCACAATAAGCAAAATGCAAAATGTTCCCCAACAACAACCATGAGCAGGCACGCACCAAAGAACACCAGCCTAGGAATGTTGAAAGCTGGGGTCCCACAAAGGTTTGGGTGGGAAGCTCGCACTAGGGAGGGAAAAGACTGACCTCAACTGAGAATGTCTTCCCGCCACAGGAAGGAACAAACAACACCACTGGCAGCTGACCAAATGCAAAGTACATAGCCAAATGAAGTTGGGTAAAAGTAGATGATGGCGCCATTTCCGTTCGTTTTCGCATTTTGGTTTGGTATCCCCTTCACTTACCCTCATGAATGGCAGCTGCGCCATCTACTTTCACCCTTTTCTTGCCATCGTCCTCGCAAGTTCACGTATCTTCAAGGAAGCCAGGAACGGCCAAGACCCAATCAATTTTGCCCAGCTCCAGGAACAGAAAGTCTCTTTCCACCACCAACCCAGTTCAACTTGGTTCGGATGGGAGCTCAAGTTTGCAGGGTCTTTCCACCCAGTTGAACTTGGTCTTTCGAAGGTTTGGCGAAGGAAAAAGCTCACGGCCTCGCACGCCAATCCTCGGTGCTGAGCTCTTCGCTGCCCGAGATCTCGGATCTCGGCATCGAATCTTTGGCTCCGTCCCCCGGAGTTTTGGGGACTCCCGAAGGTGAGACGAGATGGGACCTGCCCATTTTCTTGAAGTTGCCTCCAAACGCACATAGATGATGCATAGATATGCAGAACTAGATGTACACCATACAAAACTGAATAAACAAATCAATGTACAAGAGCTTGGGAGGTGAGATCTGCCTGAGCAAATGGAGGTGGACATTTTTCCGACGGCATTCTTCGGCCTCTCTAAGGCGCTCTGCGAGAGGCGCCAGGGAGGTGCCCCCCAAAGCTTGCATTCATCTTGCGTGCTATCCGGGGGGGCGGGTGGTGTGCCGCAAAAAATGGAAGGATCCCCTCCGAATCGGGAAACCCACCAGTTCAAATCAACCATTGTTGCTTGCTGGTCACGGAGCAAAACTAACTCTGTAGGACACCTGCCTGGGGCCCTGAAGCCTGAAAATTCCACCGTACCCTAGCTATGGCTCTTACGCCGCACGAATTCCTGCAAGACGCGCCAGTGCCCGGTGTGACCTTGGCTGCGAAAAAATGCATTGTTGAGGGGATGCAAAAAAAAGGACACCCAGTTGGCATCCCCACCACCCCCCCGCTGCAGCTAGCTGTCTGGGCAAATATTTCGAGTTGTGAGCCGGCTACCCTTATCTTCTATACCCTTGGGTCTCTTTCGAATTCGTGGGGCGCATGCGCTGTCCCAAAGAACAGGACATTTCTCAGTGTCTCATCCTGTTGGCAGTGCTTCCATTCAAACCAGGAAGGACCACCGGCCCTTAAATGGCCTTTTTGGGGTTGGGGCGCTTGGAGTTGAATTTCGGCCAAAGTCGCAAGCTTGGAGTTCGTCGTCTGAAGCCATCACCTCCTGCAGAACCATACGCCGGCTACCCCATGACCCCGAAGGCAAGCGCGCAAACTCAAAAAGCTTCCATTGGCTTCAGACCCCTGGAAAAACGTATGTCCAGTAGTGATAGATTGTCTTTAAGACCAACAAGGGAAGATAAACACATATTCTTAAGCAACTGGAAGTTAAGGGGCTGACAGCTTGTGGTGAACCCGCCCACGTGCCAAGAAGCAACTGGAATAACCCCCATGCCATGAGAATCGGGCGTCCTGTGTTCTTTTGAATGCCCCGGCCAACTAGTGCTGGCAAACGCTTTCTGAATTATGACCCTTGGCATGTTGGCAGAAAACGTGTTCTTTGCAGCCAGCAAAAAGAATGAAACAGAACCAAACACCAACAAACACATGCAAACGGCAATAACAAGAACGGTGAAGTGTGAAGCACCGTTGGAAGCAAAGTAGCACTGCAGGCAAACCGTCCGGATCACATTGTCCGGAGAACCTGCGCTGTCGGAGCAAAATCCGCAAGGTTGAATCAACATCCTACCTCCCAGGCGGCGAGAATTCCGGCTGGAAGCAAGCAAACTCTTGCTTTTTGCACTTGGAGCCCCAAAAGCACCGAGTGGATTAGCCAAAGAAGTCAACAGTTATTGTTTCCTGCTGACCTGCTCTCCACAAACAAATGAAAGGCCAAACAACTGCCGGACATGAGTGATCACTTAGCATGTGTTGGGCTCCATGTCGAAGTCTTAAAATGTTGCTCTCTCCTCAAGTGGCTCAATCAAGTTCAATCCTTCATGCTCATGGATGTTCATGGAACCCGCATGCGTCTAGGGTCCCCATCTCTCCCCATTCTTGGCAACTCACCCCCTACCTACCTCACAGCTTTAAAGGGCGTATGGCATGCTAAACCAGGTCCTCACCACCAAAGAACCTGGCTACAACAGGTCATCACAGTTTAGACCCATGGCCAAAAGTAAACCAACAAGCAGAACAGGTCAAATGGTCGATTCGCCGAAGCCGGGTCCAACGCACCCGTCAAACTGTTTGCTACTTTGTCTTTCTTGAAAAACACCAACTTCTGCAGCAAGTGTTGGTCGTTTTCTTTGCCACCCGGAAAGTTGTTTGTTCTTTGCAGACCTGGCAGTGCCGGGCTTCCCTCTCTCGGCGAACGCATTCCTGAAAGCCCTCGGGGTACTGCGCATGTAGGCTCTCCTAAGCTGGCAGCTAAGGGACCCAATAGCGGGCAACTTAGAGGCCAAGAAAGGCAAAAAACACCTGGGAGGGCATCCTCGGTTGTTGGCTCATTTTCAGGGGAGTCCCACCAAATGTATTGTTCTGCAAAAAAACACAGCAAGCGCCACTGACCAATGCAAGGTGGTTGATGAACTCCGGACTCACAAGTGGGTTCGGGCCATTTTGGGGAGGTCTTCGCAAAAAGGGGTTCCTTCGCGTTCACGTTTGCAAAAAAATGGTCACCTGTCATGGTTCTTCCATCTGAAGTCTTGGCCCAAGTTGGGTGCGTGCCCGACCGACCAATCGGACTCCTTTTCGGGCAAATTCTGTTTCAATTCCTATTGCAGGGGTCCATGACCAACCCCGTCAAAAGTAAGAATACGGAAGCTTGGACGAAGGCACATTTTGCAGCAAGGCAAAAAACAGCCTTGCAGCCATTCTCCTTTGGCCGAGGGGCGATTTTCCGGATGATGGACTCATCCGGAAACCATGCCGCCAGGCAATCCTGCCTGGGATCTCCAGACCCTTGCAAAAGCAAGGGAGGACGCCCTCCAGAACCAACAAACATGAAAGGTGTCCTTTTGGAACGTTCTAATTGCGGACCAAGAGGAAACACATCTCACCAGGTTGGTCTTGGGCAAGTAAGTTCGTGCGTGATGCTCCTTGTGCCGCATGGAAAGGTATGATTGCGCGGTCGCTTTGTTGGTGCAACCGTTACGCCGGCACCGTCGTCAAGGAGGGCAACTCACTGAGAGGGTTGCTTTCTGCCTCCGTTCCTACTTTGATTCAGAGAACTCCCTCAAAAAAACATCCCAGGGACCCCGCCTCAGGAATCCCATTGAAACATTAATTCTGGGCCATGGAATGAATGATTCTCCGGGATCCCCAGAACCCCCCGAATTGACGAGTGGGAACTGTGAATTGATAAACCCATGGTGCTGGTTGGCACGTTTCAAGGGCATGCTGTGAATGGGGCATGTTGTTTTCAACTGGGAGCGCGGATGTTCCCGGTTGACCCTGCCTCCGCAAGGTAGCAATTTGGCATCCCCGGTGCCGAAGGGAAGGATATCAAACAGAAACTGTGTTTAGGAATAAAAACACGTTTTTTAGCAATCAAAACAACAACTTGTTTAGCCATCAAGAAAAAACTCAAGGCACTCAGGGCGCCTTTTGTGGGAAACGTGTGCATCAAAAGGAACACGCAGTGCACGCGCACGCAGACGGTTTCATCACACGTGCTGCGGACGCGCAGTTACTCTTTTGTTTTTTGATCCCCAGAATATTTTTTGATCCGGGTGTCGTTAATTTGTTGATCCCTAAACAGGTTTTTTTGATCTCTCACCCCCTCAACCGCCCCGCTACTTTTTAGATTTGTTGCCCCCTCGCCGGTTTTTAGATTTCTTGCCCCTAATTGAATCATCAGTTGTT